TCATCTGATTACATCTGATGCATCTTTTATCTTCACAGAGAAATATCGCCTACCCAAAGTCGTGAGGGATTCGGGTGTAGAACTGGTTGCAGGCTTCAAGTAGCTCCCGACCGCTGCCCTTCTTCTTCAGACAGTCCTCGATTTTCTTCAGTGCTGTGTAGCCTGCTCGGATCTGCTCTGACGTCAGCTTTCCTACTCGACAAAGGAAAATGCTGAATTTAAAATATGAAACAAATCAATCAAACCACACGTTTATCATGAGTCAAATCTATGCATACAGTGAGGTGGAAATGTGGAGCTTAAATTATGACTGAGAAGTTGTTTAATAGGGTCTTTGTAAAACGCTGTAAGTGCTCTATATAGCATTTAAACCTGAGAATGTTGAACATAGACATTAAAGGATGAAAAAGGGACTGAAAGATGGGATTTTGATTTCGTCAGACTGACCGAGAGGAGCTTTTTTCGTGTCAAACTTCATCTCCAGCACACACTCCTCCATGGCTTTGATGTCACAGATCATCTCCAGGAGCGACTGGATCTTCAGATCTAGCTTTGAGATCCTCTTCTGGGGTGCAGCATCCAGTGTGGTCAGGTTCTCCTCCTGAAACAGTGAAGTACATCTATATTAAAAATGACCGACTTCATTGTCAGATCCATGGAATCTCCTTCTGTTTGTTTCATTCCTAAAATACATGTACTGTGATGTCGTGAGATGTTGTTCTTTGCCTTTTCGTTCGTGCTGTAGTCCATGAACACCATGTCATACTTCCCCGCTACTTTCTCGAAACACGCTCTATCCTCCCATTCATTCTTGGTCTTGTCAAGAAACCTGTGTGGAGAGAAAGAAAAATGAAGCACTGGAATTTAAAAAAAACTTACATCAAAGTAAGACATTTGGATTTCTTTAATCGCACAATCTCACTTTTTCTTGAAGAAGTCTTTGGCTTTCAGCAGGTCTCCACCAAATGCTGTCAGGCTGTTCTGACCCACTTTTCCCACTGGAAACAAACAAACACACAAAACATTTATGTTATGATTTTAAGGAAGGATATTCCAAACTGTAGACGTGTGTTCATTTCCTGCACATTTCAGACATTTATCTAAAATAAATAAGAATCCTGTGCATGTAAACTCACCTCTGCCCCATCTCAACCACACACTGTAAGCCTTTGAGTTGTCCTCCTCCAACAGCTGGATCAGATAGTACTTGTTGTTGTTAAACTGAAGGTTTGTCTACAAAATGGGACAGAAATTCCAACAATTAATTCAATCTCTAACAAAAATAACATGTTACATTAAAATACAGGAAGCATTGTATTATTACATTATTTCAAATATGATGTAAGACAAAACACAAGAGCTGTTTTATTTGCTATGAGGAGACAGATATCACACATCGCAGAGCAGGAGGACATTTTCTTCCGAACATTTCCACAGTATATATCGTATTTGGCAGACCCCCCTTTTGTGAAATATTTTACCTGATTAAGCATCGTATCGTAAACATCGTTTCCTTCACAGTAAACATGAGCCTGAAAGAGAAAGAGAACAGTTACTAATGTGAAATAACAAAGAGGATGGTCTAGAGCTGCTCTTTTTGTAAAGTGTCTAGTGATAATAATAATAATGAATAAAGCTAACTGCATCATATGAGCATCTTGTAAGAACTGGTTGATTCTACAAAACACACGTGCAAATACATTTTCAAAGGTTAAAAAACAAGGACATTATAGGACAATTGTGAAAACAGATCTAAACAACAAGCAGACAAAAAGTATTATGTATTCAAGTATTAACTCTCATTGTTGCTTAATCTCACACAATTTTCAATTCATGACTTTCCATCAAACTTGAATTCTAAGTGAAACTCAAAGCTGTGCATTTGTCATTCTACATTGTTGCTGAAAATAATTATTAATAACTGCAGTGGTACTTTTCAGTATCTGCTCCCCGTCCACTAACTGACTTAGCTTGTGCAAACTTTGAGTTTTCACAATCCTGCAAACTTGATTGAAGTATCTGATTTGACTTTAAACTGGAATTTTAAATTGAATAAATATCAGACATTTGAGATAATGTTCGTGTTGCGCGAAGAGGGGAATTGTAACTATAAAGGGAGAAACACATTACATGACTCTTCTAACAGGTGTCAAACCACATGTCTGAGTTTTTATTGTTCGTGATGAAATACTGATACTCTACCTTTCCAAGTTTGTCTTTGCATTCAGGGTCCACCGGGGCTTTCCCCTTCATTATCACCGTCTTCACAACCTCTGTTTCTGAACAGAGCAGAACAAGGAGCAGAAACAAACCATGAATGAGGCAACCCAACATCCAAGATGAATCACAGGTAACGCATTGTCCTTTAACTAGATGTCCTAAAATAAATGTTGCACTGGTTAAAACACACATTTAGAACTCCATTTGAATTCCTAAAGTCATTTTGTAGACAACTTTTCTGAAGATAACGTCCACGTTACCTTCACTTTTTATTTCTTCGGGCATTTTTTCTGCTTTTGTCTTGCTCTCCTTCTTGCTTTGCCCTCTCTTCCTCTTTGCTGCAGGTTGCTCCTTTGTGTCCTCCTCTTCCTCTTTTACTTCATCTGGCATCACATTTTGAGCAGCTATGTCCCCAGTGTCATCTGCACTTTCTGCACGAGTGGAAAACATTAAAAAAATACTGAATACCTGATAAAGGCGTCCATTCAAAACAAGTTGATGTCATAGAAAACTGTAAGGTGACTTATCACTTTCATGCACAACGTTAATGGACAGTGAGTAAAAATCCAAGCAGAAGATTAGAGAAACAAAAGAGGGCTGGGTCATTACAATGAAGAAAAACACACCTGCTTTTACTGTCTGAGAGCGAATCTTCCTCTTGTATTTTGTCACAGGGTTAATTTGAAACATCTGCTTCAGGTCAACTTGGTACGCAGTTCCTGCACCGAGAGTCACCGTGACAGAAGTTTGTCCTGAAGAGACAGCCGAGTCCAACAAGGCACAAACTGATGGTAAGTATGGTTCCCACTGTCCGTTATCTCCTTTCCACTGCCATACTGCTCATACACAGAGAGAGAGAGAGAGAGAGAGAGAGAGAGAGAGAGAGAGAGAGAGATTATTTATAATATTATAATCAAAATACCTCAATTTCAACGCAGAACTTTATCTTTCTGGTAAGTTTGTGTTCTATAGCCAATATACACACTAAAAATAAACTATAATAAAAATGATCATGGACAGTAGCTCTTGTTAATGGTAATGGTATGTACTTAAACCTAATAAAAACACTTATACATCGCCACACATCTGGTGTCTGATATCAGCATTTAAAGCCCAACATTATTGTTATTCCTACAATTTATTGTGAAGGCTGATATTTGTCAGATTTCGTTTGTTTTTTTCAGTCCCTGAAACACCTGTACAGGTTTTTAACATATTAGGAACATAGTTAAATTATTGGTTTATGCACATGATTCACAAAGGTTTCTGCAAACTACAAATGTTACACAGATGTAACGCTGGTGGCACAGTGGTTGGTGCGCGCGCCCCGTGTACGGAGGCTGTCGTCTCAAGCGGGCGGCCCGGGTTCACATCCCATCTGTGGCTTCTTTCCCGCATGTCATTCCCTCTCTCTCTCTCTCTCTCTCTCTCTCTCTCTCTCTCTCTGATTTCTGACTCTATCCACTGTCCTGTCTCTCTAATAAAGGCAGAAAAGACCCAAAAATAAATCTTTAAAAGAAAAAAAAAGTGACACAGATGCAAAGAGGTGCTCATACACAGTCAGCCCACATAGAGCCGGGCGATATGGACCAAAACTCATATCTCGATATTGTTTAGCTGAATGGCGATACTCGATATATATCGATATGTATTTTTATTAACAGTGTTAATGGAAAAATAAACTACCTGTTTGTGAATTTAAAAAGTAATATAATAAAATAAAAATGTTCCTTAAATACAATTAAAGAGAGAGAGAGAGAGGAGGAGCAGAGTTAAGAGGGACAGACATCATCAGTGAGATGAGAAAAAGGTGAACTAACACCTCTGTAATGTTATTTAAATGCAACATAAACTATATCCATATTAATGATATTGTCTTACCCTATATCTTGTTTGGAAATATATCGATACATCTTAAAAACTCGATATATTTCCCAGCCCTAAGCACAAATAAAAACAACTATTTGAAGCTTTTTATTTTATTTTATTGAATACAGAGCTGTTGTTTTGCATTACCTTCAGCTAGTTATACCTTGTAAACTTGCAGATCACTGAGTCCAGTACAGAGATGTTATAGATGTGATGATATATTAACAAACACTGACACAACATGTAACTTCAGCACTTGTGACATATATTCATGCATCTCTGTTGTTTGCTAAAATCTTTAAACCAGTAAGGCTTTCTTGAAACCGACATATATGAACACATGAACACATGAACACATGAACACATGAACAGTCCTAAACTCCTCTGCCCAGACTGTCCACTCATGAGCTAACAGGCTACACTGTTAACCTTCCTGCAGGAAACGATGCACCAACCTGTTTTTGATTGGACTTCTTCTTCATCTTCTTCTGCTTTCTGACTTTTATTCCTGGACATTCTTTTACGTCTCATAGTGTTTTATAGTTTAAAATAAACTAAGCGGGTGCTGTGATACGGGGGACACACACACAAACACACACACACAAACAAACAGAAGAAGAAGAATGCGGAAAACTTTCTCCAGCGCTGCTTCCTGGCCGGTGCTGATGAGCATCACCGTGCGCATGCGCAACATACTCCTGTAGCCTGGAGGCATTAACCGTTACCATGGCAATGCCTTAAGCGCAAAACTAAAATGTATAACTAATTTATATAGTATGACTCCGTCTTTTCATATTTCATATTTTAGCATTACTCTGTCTATAATATTATTTAAAAATCAATAGTGGTATGGACTGTAACCGGAAACGAGCACAGGGAACAAAACTTCGATACTTAAAGGTTCCGCCTCCACCGATGGTCGGGCTTATTTTGTCGAAGGATTGTTGGACATCCGAACATGTGTATGAAAATTAAAGGTTGAGCCTCTTTAACACAAGAAGTGGTCGTTTAGTCTCCGGAGATATGGCAACACGGAGTTATGGTGCCTGTGCTCTCTGTCAGAGGGCCGCTGTTGTGACGTTTACGAGCAGGGTGAGTGCAGGTTGTGAGTGTCATTGAACGCAACATTTTAAAACGATGGAGGTCAGAAAGGTAAAAAAAAACAACTGTTAAAATCAAGACAGAAATAATAATAAAGAGGAGGCATAACTTTGCCCGCAACGCAGTTTACATCAAATATAAATATACATCCTTTATTATACATTTCACGAGAAGTTACCTGTAGTTTTGTATTAATATTTACTGTACTGTACATAATGTAACATTTCTGTTTGTGGAGAAGAGTAATACACATGAAATACTCTCATGTACTAAGCATGTTAATAAAAACACATATCGGTATATATCGAGTATCGCCATTCAGCTAAACAATATCGAGATATGAGTTTTGGTCCATATCGCCCGGCCCTACTAAGTATATGCGAAAAGTTTATAGATTGTGACCATGTGAATTTCCTGTACACCCAGTTAAAATCCAAGAAGAACAAACATATTATGATAACTTCAGGGTCTGAGAAAGGTAATAACACAATCAGAGATAGTTGAATTCCAACAATTTTGCGTCAGTATGATTAAATGCAAATGTATGTTTAGAGCGGGAGGTTGGTTTCTAACTCACAAAAATTGAAGAGGTTGTGACAAAAAAATTATTTCTTCCTATTTTTCGTTGTCAGGGAATGAGTGCATCATCCCAGGTGAATTTCCTAAAAGGTGAACTACACAAAAAGCACCCAGGTGTGACCAACCTGAAGACTCTGTGCCTCCCTGAGGTGCTGCAGGTGGCTGCACGGTCCATTATTCACAGTAGGTCAAATTGTGCATGTGGCCATCGTCACGTGGTTTCTTTTCTGGACCTGAAATGAGACAGAATGCTGACTCTTCTTCACTCTGTCCCACCTGTAGGATCCGAGGTGACTCGGTTGACAGACCGCGCTCATAGCCTCACAAACTTCCTCTGGAGCCGAAAACGGGCAATTGACGATTCGACTCTGAGGCAGAAAGCTGTCGGCCTGGAGAAGGAACTGTGGGAGAAAGCCATGGAGAAGAGAGGAGGTGGGTGACACGTGAAGCGAAATAAATTCTTATGGTTGATTTAAAAACTGCAAATACATAAGACGCTGCAGCAGCTTTTAGGGAAGTAACTGTGCTTTACCGTTCAGTTATTGATGAACAAGCGCTGGACGACCGCATCAGGAGGAAAGTGGTTTCAGAGCTCCGCAGAACCACGTACCACTGGACTCCCATGAAGTAACGCTTGCTTTTATCTCTCTGTTTCAGTGGAATTCTTTTGTTAGCATATAAGTCTATGAATACATTTAAAAGTGGAGCAACAGTGTGACCCAATGTCTGTTTTTTTTAGTTTAGAAGAAAAGTCAATAAACAGCTGTTCTTTGTGTTTCAGGTATGATGAAGAGTTAGGGGTGGTGTACATGGCGGCTCGACTGGCTGGGGGTTACGCAGCAGTGAGGAGAGCTTTAAATGAGGTAATGAGGAGATTATTGGCTAATATTTGTTTGATTGTAGTCGTATAAAAATGGAAAAATAACAGAACAAATGTGACGGTTGATTCAAGTTGGTAATGAGAGTTTTTCTCCTGATTGTTTCAGATAAAGAAGAGGGATCCCTCTTTTGCCCCACAGTCTCTGCTGGACTTCGGTTCAGGGCTGGGAACTGTTGTCTGGTTAGTGCAAAACACTTCTGTACTTTCATAAAAATGAAATGACAAATGAATTAAGTCTCTCTCTCTCTCTCTCTCTCTCTCTCTCTCTCTGTCATGCAGGGCGTCCCACTCGTGCTGGGGCGACACATTGAAGGAGATGGTGTGTGTGGACAGCTCTGGGCCCATGAACATCCTCGCTGAGCGGCTCCTCAAAGGTGCATACACTTCTATGAGTTTTGATTTGTGACACGTTTGTTTTGGCTTTGTTTCAAATAATATTTTCTGCTTCGACCAGGTGACGATGAAAGAGCTGAACCTCACATCAAGCAAGTCTATTTCCGACAGTTCCTCCCCGTCTCTCCAAAGGTAAGAGCTACCAAAAAAAAAAGCACGTTCTGAATTCGGTTTAAAACGACGTCCTTCCAAAAAATGCAACATTTTTGTAAATGAAAGCTCCTGTGGGGAGTTTTTAGCTGGTTATGAAACGGAGACTTTCTGAGCTACTAAAGAAAACAAGCAAGTCTGAGGAAGAGCATATTGGCTCGACTTGTTTCACTTGTTTGTGATGCTCTTGTTTTGATGTTATCAGCTGGCTGATTAATCAGTCACACTCTATAAAATACAGCAGGATGAGTTTTTTCCCCCCTCAATGATCAGATAATAGTGAATTTAAGAATAGTTTGATTGATGAAATCAGTCAGTGTTTCCCCTAGGCTTACAGCGTTGGGGGGGGGAGGGACAAGCCGACACGGCGACACGACGACACAAACACTTGAAGGAATCTTGGTGTTCATGTGTTACTTTTAATGACAGCTGTCCTTTTCTATCAGAAAGGTATCTTAAATGACTTCTTTCCCTGATTTCCAACTCTATCCACTAAACAATAAAGGCATTACTTGACCTTCAATATAATGGTAGGGGAAACACTGTCAGTATATCCAGGATGCATTTAAACAATAGTTATTGTGGTACTAGTCAGAGCCAAAGAAAAGAAGAAGAGAATGTATATTTGCATTACTACTAAAAAAGCAATATCTCTTGAATGTGTTTTTGTTTCTCTGTTGCCGAAAATGTGATTTATGAAGACAGAAGCGTGTTTATTTGTTTTATAATAAACTGAAGAAGAAGCAGTTAGATAATATGAGTGTTGGCCTCTGTGGCTAATCAGAGTCAGAGACACGAAGAGGGGAGAGTAGAAAAAGCAAACTTACTTGTAAGAAAAAAAACACGACACATTTGTATGCACATATTTTTTTCCCCCGTGTGTTTTTAAAAAGCAGTTTCACATCCAGGATTAAGGGAGCCTGATTGTCGCGTGTTCCTCCCTCCAGGTGCAGTTCGACGTGGTGACGGCAGCTTTCACCCTTTCAGAGCTTAAGAATGCGAAGGACCGAGAAGAGGCGGTGATGACTCTGTGGAGAAAGACGAGCTCGTACCTGGTGAGTGGAAACAATCACAACACTTCACCTGTACAGAAGTTTGAATTGAATCCTAGATTTAGAAACATGTAACATCTAAACACAGTCTTTGGGAGTAGTTTGTTATTTAGTAAGTATGTTATTTGTGTTTTCTGGTAAAGGTTCTGGTGGAAAATGGAACCAAAGAGGGTCACCAGATGCTGATGGAGGCCAGAGACTCTTTATTAAAGGTATTCAAAAACACTGGATGGATCTTTTTAAGTCGTTAGGATCTGTTGTGTAAAGTGTTGAGGAAGCAGACTGTTGACCTACAGTTGTTTTTTCTCCAGAAACAAGAGAAGACCGTCCATGACCCCAGACCAGCGTCAGTGTTTGCTCCGGTACGTTCAACCTCAGCTGGTTTCAAATATTCTCCCAAACTCTGAACCAGCAGTGTCGCAGCTCTCTTCATTATATTTTTTTCCTCCAGTGTCCTCATGAACTGATCTGTCCTAAACTGGCCCGTGAGCCCTTCTCGCCCTGTAACTTCCAGCAGCAGTACAAACCTCTGCCTCTGCCCGGGGTGAGTTTACACTCTGGATTATATTTCTACAGCGCTCTTATCAGAGAGTCAGATTTAAGAAGGTCGAGCATGAACGTTTATGCTTGACCTCGAAATTAGTAATACTACAAAATAAAGTTATTAATTTAAAGTTATTCTGACTACATTTTTGTAAAAACTGCATCTCTCAGCTGATCTATTTTTTTAAAATCTATATTGTGGTATCTATCTATTTTTTTGTACATTTTTTATTTAAATTGTACTGTGTTCACTTTTTGTTTGCAATCTTTGCTCTTTGCTGATGTAACACTGTAAATTTCCCCGTTGTGGGATAAATAAAGGATTATCTTATTAAGTGGACATTTAATGCTGTAATTTATTTAGTCAAACTAGTCAGCAGGTAATTATTAAGTTTGATATAGAAGATTAGAACATGACCGATGTCCTCGTGCTCTCGCCAAATTTGTAAAATTGTCCAAAAACATTTGTTATAATTAGTTTTTTTTTTCATGCATTATCTTTTAATATATTTTTCTGAGGTGAGCACCAGTGCCTTTGAGAAACTCTGTTGTAAAGTGTTTTTTTGGAGTGAACAACATTTCTACAACATCAGTTAATTTACAAAGCGCAGCAAAAAAACGTGAACTGACTCCATGAGAGTTTAAATTTCTGCTTTCCAACAAAAAGTCAAAGCATGTAAAGGATCCCACTTATGAACTGTATGTTTTTTTTTTTTGTTTTCAGCACAACGACCAGCAGAGGGAGAAGTTCAGCTACCTGATTGTGTCCCGGACTGAACCAGCGAGGGCCGCCGCTGAAGGTGTGGACTGGGCCAGGCTGACTGCACCGGTGCAGCGCAGGACAAGACACGTCCACTGTCGATCGTGCTGCCCTGATGGAAAGCTACAACACCTGGTGGTGACCGCACGGAAACACGGCAGGTAAGGAGTGTCTGCATCACAGAACACATCGTGCTGCTCGTCTCATTTGTAGCAGCATTGGCTTACTCGCTTTAAATTAGACTGGGTTTGAATTAACACAAATAATAATGTGGCTTAAGAGCAGATACAGGATTGAATGATTTAGTTTGTTTGATACATCAGGGTTCTCTGTGTTTTGATTAAGGGAGAATTGTGTGAAAATAAACTTTTGTGGGAGTATTTACACACTTTAACCCTTTAGACCTGATGCCATGTCTGAGTGTGTATACCTTTTAAGACCTGATGAGATGTTGAAAATATGTGCAGTTTTACTGAAGCTTTTGGGAGATTGTTTTCAAACTCAGATTTTAGAGGTGTGTTTTTTTTTTTTTAGACGGCCTTTATCACAAATTTATGTTTTAGTTATTTTCTATACACATTCATTATAAAAAAGTGGATTAAAGATAAAGTGTTTAAAAACATGCCAACAAAACATCAAACTTAATTGAACAAAGAAAGACGAACTTCTCTAAACGTGAATGTGTAAACACAAACAGCTGTGCGTGACAAAAACGGCAATATTATTATATATATATTATATTATTGTTAAGTTAACATAGTGATAAATCAAGCAGAAATGTAACACCTTCACATTTCTTTACTTTGTTTCTAATGGGTCATGGGTTGTTCCCTGGCCCTGCTCTTATTGGAGGCTGAATAAAGCTTAATGTTTGTCCAATGTGGATCTGATGAAAAATGTCCATTATATCACTTCACTGAAGACGGTTTCATTTCTTCCAATCAGAGATGTGTACCGCTGTGCTCGGAACAGCGACTGGGGAGATCAAGTTCCAATCATCCAGGAAGCCGATGAAGACACTCGGACTGATCCAGAGTGATGACTCAGCATGCGAGAGGAAGCAGACTCGTTTTTTTTACAATTTTACACGATTGAAACATGAAATTAAATGAGATACGATTCCATTCAATGACTCATCAGCGCTAGTTCAACAGAACAATTTCATGTTCTTACTGGATACGGACACCGTCATATCCTGACGGACTCATTTGACACCGATTACTTCAATAAACATTCACACCATGTCTTGAATCATCACGTTTTATTGTGCACCACCTGCAATAGATCAGAGTTCATTTAAGAAGCGGATTGTAAAAGTTCACAAAGTGAGAGCTATGACATTTCCTCCTGCATGTTTCAGTGCCTTATGTTCTAAATTCAGTCAATATAGTTAAATACAATCCCTGTACTGAGAGAGACCCGAGTAGAGCTTCAGGATCAGAGAGGAGGAGATGAAAATGTTGTTCTCTAAAATCACCACACGCTTCATGCTGAGGCCTGTTAACGCCCTGTTCAGAGTTTTAATGCTGTGCCCAGAGGAGTGTCGGGTATTTTGTCAGAATTACAATGCAGCGGACCGTTCAGGCAAGAAGCAACTATTTCAATACTTTATTTGTTTTACCATTAATGGAGATTTTTAGGCAAGAATAACAAAGCTAAAGTTGATAGTAACACTTTCTCAACGCAAGAAAAGAAGAGTGAAGTCATCATCCTGGCCAATCAAAGGAGAGTGCTGTTGTTTCTCTAATCGTTGTTAGACTCTTGCTCATACATTGTACTGGAGTCCCTCATCTGTGAGTAAAGTGGACTGCTGTAAAAGGGACTTCTAAACCAATTTTGTTAAATTGGCATGAGCATTTTTTTTTCAAAGTCTCCTTGAACAACTATTTACAGGAAAAATGGAACTTGAAAAACTAGCCGCGTAAACCCTAAAATAAGTAATAAATAGTCTTTAGAGTTGTGATTTTCTGATCAATTTTAAAGCTCCTTTAAGATACTTTACATTTGTGTTGATTTTGGCGCCCCCTATGGACAAAAGGGTTGATATCATTGCCGTTTTTTCCCCTTGTACATACGTAGGCAGATGCTTGACAAACAATCTTCACCTGATTTCTTTTAACAGTCAAAAAAAAAAATCACTAATTTTCAGTATTTGTTGCAGAAAAATGTAACAAGAGGTGTTCTCCTTGGCGTGCTGTAAATATTAAATAACTACCTTACTGCAGCGTTTACAGATATTAAAAATGACTAAAGAAAAATTAAATCCCGGGGATGAAATTCGTGTTTGCGGTACAACAGATCATTTCTATCTGTATTATAACCAGCTAAAAACTCCTCACAGGAGCTTTAATTCACAGTATGAACAGATTCTCAGAAGGTTCGTTAAACCACATCCAGTAACTGGTTATGATTTGAAAAATCACCTGACACATTTCTGACCCCAAATGTTTTTTCAAAGATAATTTGAGCTTTAATATAACCGGCTTATATTCTTGAAATACCGTAAATGTGAACACAACATTTCCTCCAACAGCTGTTAACTTCCTACAATCTCTTTCAGTGCTGAAGTCAGGTCTGGGTATTTGTACTGAAACCCGGCCTCTTGAGTCCTCTGTGGTATGACTTTCTGACCCTGCGTGAGGACGATCGCCCTCTCAGAGCCCATCAGGGCGTTCATGACAAAGCCAGGCACAGGAAAAATGGTGGGCCTCCTCATGAGCCGGCCCAGTTCTTTAGTGAACTCGTAGTTGGTGTTCAGCGCAGGTGCGACTCCGTTCAACACTTGCTGTGAAGGGGGCGGGGTGTCGGCGGGCGGCTCCAGGGCGTGGGCGATGATTCCTGCCAGGTCGGAGACGTGGATCCAGGGAAACGGCTGTCCCCCTGACCCCAGAGTGCCCCCGAGGCCGAGCCAGAAGGGCAGCAGCATCTGCTTCATGGCACCTCCATCGCGACCCAACACTGCCCCTGGTGGACGATCCAATATTCACCAGTCAGGTACAACACATTACTCAAGATTGCCAAAAGAAGTTAAGACATGATTTGTATTAGTATGATTTATAAAACGGCTCTAGGCCAGAATTATGAATTAATGGAGATAAATGAATAACATTTACCAAAGTACTGTATGCATGTCCTACTTTGGGGTACTTGGGGTATTTTCTTCTACAGTTCAGAGTGAGATATTAATCAATTACTACATTTATTTGATGCCTTAAGTGAAGGACAAATACAGATTAATTACACAACTGATAAATGTGAATGAACAAATTAATCCTTCATTATTATGGGTAAGGATTAGACCAAATTGATCACTGAAGAAGGTTTAAAATGTACCCGAAAGTCTCTCTAAAGAAATAGATGCCATATTTATCAGGTGCTTTTTAAAAAGTATGCATGACTAAATGTAACAATAAAACTTATTGAATTATATTAACAATTCTGAAATGAGACGATCAGAAAAACAAGTATTGAATGAATGAATTGATGTAGAAGGAAACTGTTGTGCTTCAGCTGCTCTACAAATGGAGGTCGGTGCTCTCGGAGAAGGAATGAAGATGTTCAAAATATAGTCAAGGTTTGACTCCGACTCTCTGACGTTAGTCCTTTGCACCTTAATATATTTTCCTTAACTGATTTGTGTGCTCCTCCAGTACTTTCTCTGGATCCTGCCTGAGAGAAGGACTCCACTGAGTTATATTTCTAATTTATGTCACAAGCATAATTTGATGCTAATACTTTTTTAATATCACTCAGAAGATTTGGAATTTCCCCCTCATGTTTAAAAGGTGTTGTAGTCGTTTATTAGGAAAAGTTAAACTGTTAAACAGCTTAAATCTAAAAGTGAAGCCGCAACTAAGTTACTTAATAACCAAGACCCTTCAGGTACATTAACACCTCATACATTTTTTGGATTTTTAAAAATTGACATAAAGGAACAAACAACTGTCCTCAGAGCGCTGCAATACGTGCTCACTGCACATTCAACCAGCAGAATAAGTTACCTGTAAGTTCAAGTGAGAAATGCAGATTTTACAAACCCGGTCTGATGACGACTTGTTTGGTGGTGTTGCCACACTCTCAGGAAGAAGAGCAGAGGCCTCCCATTCTTTCACCAGTTTGGAGAGGAGGTCAAACGGTGTCCATTCACTGTCCTCTGTGTACTCAGCTGTCAGACTGGGTTTGTAACAAGCTGTGGGACGATAACATGAAAAGTTGATACTTTCTGTATCGTCTGTGAGTGCGTTAGGTCTGACCTGCTTCAGCAAATCATGATTTTATTATTACACATGCAGACACTGACCTACTCCTGAAACCAGGACCCAGGAGCGAGGAGGACTGGGCGAATCGGCGATAGCTTGAGCCAGAGTTTTAGTTGTGTCAACACGACTGGAAAACAGATCCTTTCTGTAGCTTTCATTCCACCTGAGAACAGAAACAATAAAAGGTTGAAAAAATACAGCTCGTGTCCTCAACAACTCTTTCTGTACAGGGATGAAAACTTCCTGTGACGAGTTTCTAGCTACTTTTGAAACATGCGGCTGTCTCTCCTTTATGACCTACAACAAGACAAATGATTTCTATGTTGTTATTTATTGATGTGAGAAGTTTCCTCAAAGGAGCTTTAAGTTCTATTTTAATCATTTTTTCTTGATATAGACGATACAATAAATTGAAAGCTTACATAATGCAGTGCAAATAGACAACATGGTCAAGAGTATGTGGGCGAGGGAATAAAGCACCCATATGTGACTGTTGAATATTTCCCCCCTCATGAATCTTCTACAGCCGCCATGCAGCAGAAGCTTTGTTTCTATTCACCGTGTGAGCCGTATAAGTCAACCTCCTGTGCTTGGTGACACTGAAAACCATTTCAGTATGGACCTGGCTTCAAGAATGTCCACAAACTATTGCATATTTTCATGTATTTGAGATGGCACAAAAAAGTGTGGCGGGTTTCTGTTGTCACTCTCACCATCGTAGAGGGTTCATCAGATTCTCTCCAGCCAAATTGACAGCGCCCTCACATGGTGGGAGGCCGTTAGACTCCAACTCACTCTGCAGAAGCACAGGGGGGAGAAATAATAGTGATAGTGATAATAGTGATGTAGATTGCTGCAAAAGTATGATATCCAAAGGATTCAACAGACATGACAAACATTACAAGTCTGAATTAATTTGAGATCATACCCATGTTATTTTCCCTGGACCGGGCTGTCGAGATACAATGGTAACCTCATGACCTTTTGCTTTGAGAAGGCGAGTCAGTTCCCGACCCACAAAGCCAGACCCCCCTCCTAAAAGAAAGACAATTAATTAATTAATCAATTCAAGAGAAATGATTGGCCCGAGGCGAATTTGCTTTGCAGCAAGAGCATAAAAACATGTCAACAACCGTATAGGACAGCTCATAAAGACAACAAACAAAACCATTAAAAATCTACATGAAAAGACAACAAAGCATCATATGAGTACAAGCTTGTAAAGCAGCTGAATGCTGTGTTACAAAGGAAGTGAAGACCTCATCCTGGACCACTACAAGAGTACCTACTCAGACAAAGGAGGTGCAGTGGAGTCTGCTGTGAGCTGTGTTTAGTGATCCATAATAACATTTAAAAAAACACGTATAAAACAGACAATCACGACCATGTACGTTTTAGCCGCAGAGCTGTGCCATCTTTTTGATCCACACCCGTACTGTGAATAATATATACAGTCTATGATCTACAGAGAGACATTGCAGGTACAATAAAATCAGAAACCCATCAATTAGGCTACACAGGTTATAAATATGTAAAGATAAGATAATCCTCTATTTATCCCACAATTGGGAAATTTACAGTGTTACAGCAGCAAAGAGCAAAGACTGCAGACAAAAAGTGAACACAGTACAATTTAAATTAGAAAAAGAAGAAGAATTAAGAATGTACAAAATAAAATAGAAACTAAAATGGACAGTTAAGACCGCATTTGCCCTAATTTTACAATTTAAAAAATTATGAAATGGCTTCTTAAACATATTGGCATAAACAATATAAAGTCAGTTGCCTGGAAAAACTTCTCACCCCAAAATGACAACACAATCAGGAGGACTGTGCGCATGCGTACTGTGCACGCTTACAAAACAGGCGTCTGTGCAACTTATGCAAACTTAGCTTTGGACAGCAAATAAAAAACATTCAGACAGTTGTCTAGATTTAACCAGTTAGCCAGGGCGCTGTGTTGGACAGTAAGACGCATTTGCCCTAATTTTACAATTTAAAAAAATATGAAATGGCTTCTGGCTGAAATGGATATTGGCATAAACAATATAAAGTCAGTTGCCTGGAAATACTTCTCACTCAGGAGGACTGCGCGCATGCGTACTGTGCACGCTTACAAAACAGGCGTCTGTGCAACTTAAGCAAACTTAGCTTTGGACAGCAAATAAAAAACATTCAGAAAGTTATCTAGATTTAACCAGTTAGCCAGGGCGCTGTGTTGTTAAGTCACTGCCATTCGCACATGAAGCAAACACAACTTAATTGTCCAAGTTGTGCCTAAAAATGCAAACACAGTGTAACAGCTAGCTGGTAGCGTGATGTCACGCTGACCTTTGAGATGTTTTAAATAAAAAAAGAAGAATGTCTTGTTCTGAAAGAAAGTACATACCTATTAAAACTCTCATGATGGTCGATTTATCGTCCTATTTTAATTCAAAAACAGAGCCTGACTGCAGGTAATAACGTTTCCTTACGTCCGTCTGTAGGCTGCAGTGAACACAGACTGTGTAAAAGCGCTTTAACAGTTTTGTACCACCAGGAGTTCCGTAGCCGGGAAAGCACATACGTCATTTTGTAGTTTTTTGATAACGACGACCGCTTGGAAAGTGTTTTTTGTAGTAACGGTTGGGATTTAATCACGGTTTATTTTATTCAAACACAGATAATAACTATCTTCTATGATGTGCAGGTAAGGACCGAGGATAAAACAAATGTTTTATTTTGATAAACTATAATAAATTTGCGTTTCCCAAACACAAGTAAGCGATTATTTTTTATGATTGCATCTAATTAAAGTTTAGAATAGAATAGATGTTTATTGCCATTTGCACAGGTACGGGACAGTACAGGACAATTCTTGTGCGTTTCTCCCTGAGTCAGCTTCTACAAAACAAAGTTAAAATTATATATAAGATAGAATAGCATTATAAGAAAAAAAGAGTAGAAAAAAGTACAAAAAAAAGTAAAAGTAAAAATAAATAAGTTGTATTAACAGCTAAGTAAATTAAAATAAACTGTACAGAAGTTATACTCTGTATTAAAGCAAAGATATAATACAAACAAAAATAACAAAGGGGAACACTGTGAAATTAAAATATAAATAAGTTTCCTTATTGCACTTGTTGCAGTTTTAGGGTATTTCTGTTTTATTAATTGGGGTTTTGTTTATTTTGGCTCAGTTTGAATACGACAACACGTTTTTTTTCCACATTACTTCAAATGTAATTGATACTCGAATTAGTTTAATGTGTTAATTGTGTTATCTTCAAAAACAAAGATTGTTGTCTTGTATTTATTGTTGAATGTGTGGTTGATTGGTGTCAAGGCAGAGGAACAGAAAAAAATAAACAAAAAGAAAAGGAAAATAATATTTAGTAGTGTGCACCAATACTATAAAACAGGGAATGTTATTATTATAAGCGATATTTTCTGTGGATTAAAATGTAACTTAATTGTTATTTATGATTCAAGATTCCTTATATGTATTTATTATTCAGAAATGTGTCTTTAAGCCCATATACTGTAAACATTAGCCTCTAAAAGATGTATGTAACCTACATACAATCCAGTAAACTATTTTATTTAAAAATAATATGCATTTTTCATGCCCGTGTACAAGAGCGGCTTTGTTTATAACCCCTTGTTTTGTAAGGGATGTGTTTAAAAAAAGTTAATTTTTAATAAATTGCGCCATACCCGGAAGCTGCATGTTTAGTGACGGAGGACAGCAACACGTGGTTTTGATAAGGACATAAATAGAGCCGCAGCCTCATTATCGGTCTCTGTTCCTTGTTGCGGTGATGGAGGTCTTACATGTTGTGGTGGAGAGTCAAGAACCAACGTGGTGAAACGTCTTCTATGGTAAATGTTAACATTGTCTATCTTATTACACTCTCTCATGTAGAGCTGATGTTTTCTTTAGATCTGCTTCTGGATGGTTGTTTTTGTTACTTCCGCTTTAATTTCGTGGTTAGCTCGCTGCTTCAGTCTGAGCGCCAAACAGACCTCATGGTCTGTGCTGTTGAGGCCTTGTTCCACAGATTGATGCTCATGATTAAAGTCTGCATCAGAGTGGATTATATGTATAAATCAAAATGACTTCACAGCGTGATTTACTACAAAGTGTTCTTCACTACTGAACACACTTTGATTGATTACCTTAAATCACGCTGTGTTGAATCTTTGAATGGGTTAGGCTGCGGAAAATGTATTATCCAGCTAATTCATGTTTATGTGAAACTATCAGGTCTCAGCTTTAGACTTAGTAAAATAAGTGATTAATTGATATTTGAGCATTACTAAAATTATTTTTTTTTATTTTTTTTTGGAAACATATTTTTGTACTACAGTTTTGGGGAAGTATCCATTTAAGTTAGGCTTAAATAATAAAGATTTCCTTTACATTGCAATGCAGTTAAGCAGCCATTTAAAAACTCTGTCCTTCAAATGATCAATGAGTCAAACCTTAATGATGAGTTGCATGTGAGTCCGTGTTTCACCTGAACCTCATGATTATTCTTTCACTGCGCTGATGGGTTTGACAAAGTAGATGCTCATGAGGATGTGTCTTTGATTTTATGTTGAGACTAACCTGTCTTTGCTTTTCTATTTAAGGGTTCAGCACATGGACTGGAGAATTGTCCATCAGGTCAGTATTCGTCTTTTGAACTCTTGAGCATTACACACCAATACAAATGTTACATTCCCTTTTGTAAAGTTAATATAGTCATAGCAATGGATTAAGTGTTTATAGTCTTATTTTTGGAGGCTGAAGTTTGCAGGGCTGTTTAATGCTCCATGTAACTCAATATATTAGATTTTGACCAGTTCTCGTTAGTTTAATTTGTTTTTGTTAAACATCTCAACACTATCTGCAGCCTCAAAAGACCATTAAATCAAATTGCTGACTGAAACTGTTTAACAGCTGGATAACATGCCTTTTTTTTCTTTCACAGTAATGAGAACTCTGCATGAATGCTTGGATTGCCAAAGTTACTCGTGTTTAAAAGTACTTTAATGAACATTTAGTAATTTACAATGCACAAATACTGTAAACAATATTTAATCTAAATTTATGTACATTGTACTGGGTCAACAATGTATGAGCTTGATTTAAACTAATGAATAAAGATTAATTGAATTTTTAAAAGATGTGTGTGTCTCTTTTTAATTAGAAAAAGGGTTCTGTGAATGTTTCAAAGCATTAAACTAGACTGAACCCACGTAGTCGGGCAACCAGAAAAAAATACTATCTGTGGGGAAAATTGGCTAAATGAACCTCACCTAGCAGATATATTTTTCTAGTTGTTTAGTTTATAGAAGTTGGCCAAAAGGGGGAAAATAGTCTTAAGACCTAAGCTTTTAAAGCTAAAATGAACCTGGTTGGTGTGGAGTTGATGCTATCTGAACTACTTCCATGATCCTCTTTAGCACTTAAAATATGTAAATGAAAATCAACAAATAGGTTGTGAATTTTTATTATATAAAATTGGGAGAACTGTAAAGTTTACATTGTTATAAACACAAACTGGAATTTGATCTGTTACAGCAATGCAACTTTTCCACGAGTAGATTTGGAGCTGTTTCAGTAGTTTTTTTTGGGTTTTTTTTTTTTTTTCATAACAGCCTTGGAAAAATAATAAAACACAAGGTATAAAAAAAGTTGCCAATTCAAATATACATGTCAGGTTTAAAAAAAAAAATACAATAAAAATCTTGCACATTCATCACTGACGCCCAGTCAAACTTTTTACTTCACTAAAACTATTTACAAAAAAAAACACTTGACAGCAGCCTCTAAGAGAGTTTGCTTCTGTACATTTTTGAAGCACAGCAGTTCTCAAGTTGCTCTAAACAAAATCCACATGTAGTCTTGTGCTGATATTCATGCATAAAACTCATTGGAAGCTCATTTTCCGTTTCGTAAAGGAGGAGTTCCTGTGCTGCTTGATTCAGCAAGGTCTTTACTTTGTCCCCGAATCTTTTTGGTTCCTGTTTGGTCCAATGACGTTCCCTCAAAGAGTCGCGCCATGAAAGCAAATCCGCTCTGCTTGATGTAGGACTTCCCAGCGAAGGTGTAGAGGACAGGATTGGCACAGCTGCTGATGAAGGCCAGACATGAGGTCACTGCGCGGCTATTTTTGGAGATTTCGTCCAAACTGTAGATAAACAGAAAATCAAAACGTAAAGTAACATAGCATGCTGAAGAGCTTATCTTAAACCACATTCTCTCAAATCCACTGACATGAAAAACTAATATCCATGAATGAAGAACTGCTCATAGGGCCAGGGGAAGAGATGCAATGTGACATCAAAGAGACAAAAAAAAAACCTCTAAGACGTTAAAAACAGCCACATGATAACACACAAAGTCATACACTTAACACAAAGGCTCAACATAAGTACGGAGGGACAGAGAAGGACTACATCCTACCCAGTTGACATTTCAAAAAAAACAAAAAAAACCTTTAAAGAAACATTCAATGGGGACAAAGAAAAACACAATTTGACGTCAATTTTTTTTACAATGTGACACAAAATGACTAGAGGGACACAACCAAACCAACTACAGAGACACAAAACAACCAAAAAAGTGAAAGTGAATGAGAATAAACATTTTAAAAAAAAATCACTACAGAGACATAAGAACTACAGACAAATACAAAATGACCACAGCGAGAGAACCATAACAAGAAACAAACCAACAACCGCTTAGTAACACAAAACCCAACACAGAAGAGAGACATGGACTGACCATGAATAGACGCAAAACAATAAGAGATAATGAACTACAAATACACACAAAACAACTACAAACACACAACCATGATAAGCCACAAAACTACAAATAGAAAGAAAAAGGAATAAAGAGAACAAGATGATGACAGAGACAGAGAGAGAGAGAGACATCTACAGAGAGACAACATGCTTAGAAAATGTCACAAAACAGAAAGATGTTCTATGTAAGTCTAATAAATGCGCATCAAAGTTACAATTTGGGGTGAAGGGTCCACAGTTATAGTTTGTTTTCATTTTTGACTTGAAAGAATTTTACAAATACAGACCAATAAAAAACCTCACGTCTTTCTTTCTATTGAACTCCATGGACTGGTCCATTTATTTTTAAATTCTAAGATGATTCACTTTCTGACTTTTCTGCAATGCAGTTGTTATGTCCCCCCAGAAATAAAATCTTAATGACTCGGGGTCACAAGTTAGGGAACTAAAGAAACACTGCGCTTAAAAAAAAAATATATGTGGGCCTTGGGTTTCTTAAAGGTCACATATTCTCCTCCTTTCCAAGCAGTTCAAATACGCCTCAGAGCTCCCCAAAAACATGTCTGTGAAGTGTCTTGTTCTAAATCCACTCTGATCCTATATTTGATCATGTCTATAAACCCCTCTCTTTCAGCCCTGCTCAGAACAGGCTGTTTCTGTGTCTGTAGCTTTAAATGTAAATTAGCTGTGTCTGACCACGCCCCCTTTCTGGAAGAGCTTGTGGCTCTGGCTCTTTCACTCCATGACTTATTGTTTACGATGAGGAGGCAGACTCAGAGGGGCAGAACAAACACCTAGCTGTGGGAGTGTCACCCACCTGGGGGAGGGGTTACGGCCCTTTGTGATGTCATGAAGGGAAAATCTCCCTTCATGACATCACATTTTCTGAAGAGTGGAGCAGGCAAAAGACTTCCACCTCCCTATTTATCCTCCCAGCCCAGCTGATTGTCATCAGCCACCAGCTGAGGGAGAACATCACAGGTACACTCGATGACTCCTGATGAGCAAAGAAACCTGAGACCTAATTAATTGGGAATCTATCCATGACAGCAATAAAAAGGTATTTTGTGTCAAAGTGCTTTTGCAGACATGAGACTCCAATCATGGGCGCCAAATGAAAACATGCCAAATGCACTTTGAGATTGTGGTGGAAAAAAATGTAAAAAATCTTAAGTTACTCACTTTTCTTTTGCCTTTGAACCGTTCTTACACCACTCAGCTGCCACCTTGGAGATACAAAACATACTCAGCGTTTATTCAAGGGGTTCAAAAAATCATTCCTAAAGCAATAACCAGTATTCTGATTTGACAAAACAAAACCTTAATCACGTCCTTACTCACCTGCAGCATGTTTATAATGTGGTACGGCAGCCAGAAAAGGCCAAACGTCACCACGATAGCCAGGATGAGGTTCTCGCTGCGGACCTTTCTTTGAAACTTGGTCTGTCTCAGGCGCCTCAGGATGAGGACGTAGCACGTTATGATGACTGAGTATGGAAGAATAAATCCCGCCACAGTCTCTAAGGTATACTGAAACCTCACCTGCACACAGGAGGATACAAAACAGAACAGATGTGTAAATAAGAACAGATCAAGTTCATCATTTGGACCTAACAGTGTGGGCAGTATTTAGCAGCTCTTAACGCCTGGCTTTTTCGTTAGCTTAGCTTATTAGCTATAGCGTATGAACCAGCTTTGTTATTTGAGTTGTTACATAACTGTATACCGTATTTTCCGCACTGTAAGGCGCACCGGATTATAAGGCGCATAGAATAGAACGTGTTTACAACTGAACAAGGCTGGGAGATATTGTGAATATATAAATATAAATACGTGTAAAACTACGTTTTCGCTCCGGATTATAAGGCGCACTGTCGTTTTTTGAGAAAATTAAAGGCTTTTAAGTGCGCCTTATAGTGCGGAAAATACGGTAACTTAATTAATAAAGCATTTAGACCTACTAATCCCTTGCCCCTTTTCACTTCCAGCCTCTAATAAAAAAATGTGGTCCCTTCTGGGGCGCCGGTGGTTAGTTCCCACGCTCCATGAAGTCCTAAAAGCAGGCCGCCTCAAATCCGACCTGTGGCTCCTTTCCCGCATGTCGTACCCCATCTACCCCCCAATCCCCCCCCCAATCTCCAACTCTATCCAGTGTCTTAAATAGGGCATTGGTTCCCAACTGGTGGGTCAGGACCCAAAATTGGGTCACTGAGTAATTTCCAGTTTTTTTTTCCGTCAGATGTTTTGAGGTGCAAAATGTTTTTCATTAAATACATCTGATTTGTTGAAAAATATCAGAAATTTGGGTTATGATTTCTCATTAGGGAATTAGTGGTTGAGGTCCTGAGGCTAGACCAGTTGAGAACCTCTGCTTCAGGGTATGAACACCAGATAAAGACAATAATTGTTTGTTTTGTTCTAAACCTTCTTACATGTCGAGCCTCGGTGTGATTGGGCGCGCAAACCAATCTTTTCATACGCTTCTCATCTAAGTCCACTCTCAAATCTCGAAACACCAGCGAGGGGATGGAGATCAACATCACCAGCACCCACGTGCCAATGATAGCCCTCCTCACGATCTGCTTGGTGACGAGGGACTTGGCTTTTCTCGGAAACACCACGGCGACCATCCTGTGCACGCTCATCAGCGTGATTAGGAAGATGGAGGCGTACATGTTAGAGTTGCACAGGTAGAAGACGCCTTTGCACATGGCGTCACCGAACACCCACGACTGCTTGGCCAGGTAGACGATGAAGAAGATGGTGAGGGCCATGAGGATGCCGTCAGCGCATGCCAAGTTGAGGATGAGGAGGGTGGTGACCGATCGCTGCCGGGTGCGCGCCAGGATGCTCCAGACAATGAAGAGGTTGCCGGGGACACCAAGGAGGAAGACCAAGCCGAGGATGAGGGCACCCAACGTGGTCGTGACGTCATTGCTGACCACACTGTCATCCTCTGGGTTTGTGACATTGATGTATGTAGGCGTGGTCAAGAGGGACGGACTGTAGGACTGGCTCATACTGGGAGGATCCCTGAGGGTAAGAACAAAACACTTCTTTTTTTAGATTGGTTCTTTGATTTATTTTACTCACACAAAACAAACAAAAGCATATTTGTTATTTAGTCACTTAACATAATAATTATTCACATCAATATGATATGATGGCCCAATATCACAAGATAAAATCATGATGCAGTGATCCTGTGATGATGCTCGATGTGATGATTCATTATAGGAATATAAAATGCCCCAAAAATGGGGCGGCAGTAGCTGTAGAGACTTGGGTTGGGAACCAGAGGGTCGCCGGTTCAAGTGCCCATGCAGACCAAGTCTGGTAATTTGTCTGCTAGCTGGAGAGGTGCCAGTTCACTTCCTGAGCACTGCAGAGGAGCCAAGAGCAAGGCACAGAATCCCCCCCCACACTAGCTCAGGTGGGCAGCCTCCTCACCTTGGCACCCCTCCATTAGTGCATGTTAAATAACAGAGTGTAAAATTAAAAGTTATATCTTCTAAATAGGTAAAGGGCAGGACTGATTTATGTTTTTACTGCATTTGGTTGTTCAGTTTAACTTCTTATTTTCCTTCATCTTCTCTTAACTGCTGTCCAAAATGATTCTGCTATCTGTTTCTTCTTCTTCTTCTTCTTTATTCCTGCTGTCGACTTCATCTTTTCCAATAATCTTCCTTTCATGTTACCTTCCTTCATGTCATAAACACCACAGTGAGGAGTCATTGAAGGAGTGACACGGTGAGTCAAATTGGCGGGGAAATCTGCTTAGAGCATCGTATTCATTTTATTACCTGACTGATATGTGGCACCAGTGATTTGATAAATGTATCCCGAGTGTGGATGATGATTATGTCGCTGTTTTTCGGTATTTTGTCCCACACCTGTTGACATTATAGTAAAAGGTGGTTGTTGGATTTCTGAGCACACTGACAATACCGATGGTCTGGAGAAACCGGTGCCCAAGCAACTGAAGGTAAACATCCCAAAATATTGTTCAGTGATGGCATGCAGGCTGTTTCCAGAGCGGGGTGGCGGCTGCTACCCTGACGCATCACCTAAAATATTCACTTGAGACCCCGTTGCCAACAGCGGAGCTCAAGAGGCAGCGTGCTAAAACATGCCAAACGTTTGCAGTACTGCGTCAAAGAAGAGGAGTATTATGACTCAGATTTTGATTCATTTTAGATTTTTTCTTTTTTTTTTTATGATCTTGTCTTTCATCATCTTTGGATTCTTTCTCACTGTCCGTTCACATGGAGAAAAGTACCCTGCAGGGCAAAGCTCACAGAGGGATGACCTTTAAGACCAACCCTGATTTAAATATGCTAAATTTAAAAATGAAATGCGAGTGATGTGGAGGGAAGGTAATTGGCTCAGTTAATATTTCTGTAAAGCCACATTTGTGAGAACAAGACTTTAGGTCCTTATTTCCTGATTAAGTCCTTAGTTTCCTGCTCTGGTCCCACTAAAACAAACTGTTTATTTTCCCCTGGTGGCTTTAAACGAGAGTGTACGCGTAAACAATCAAATCCAGACATACATCACTGGTTAAAAAATACAATGGAAAGAGAAGTCCATGCAACACATGAATGATGTCAAGTGGAGTCACGGCTTCTCAGAAATGACGGCTTCTTGCAAAATATGTCTTTCTAAATCAAATCAAGGATCTTGAAGCTGTTGCAAAACACAACACAACAATGCTATCTGTGAGGTGAAGGGTTGTCATGATGCAAGATTAGTTTGTAAATTTCAATACAATGCTTATAAAAGTTACAAAATATTTCATCTCTGATTCAATAATATAGAATAATATTAGAAGCCACAAGCAGCCTTAACCGCAACCCAGGCAAACTCCTTCACACTGTGTTGTGTTGGCAATCTTTCTCTCTCTCTCTATCTCTCTCTCTCTCTCTCTCAAAGCTATTGTTTGAAATATGAACAAAGATCTATAGTTTTTTAAGCGTTGATATTGACCATTAAAATAACTGAGATAATTGAGACAAATTTAGTTAAGATAAAGACACAAACAATGCAATTAATGAATTGTCTTCTCGGCAATGGAGACACAACAGAAGTATAAAAATACCAAGAAAAGATACCAAGGTTTAGGACTGATGGGGAAAGACGGCGTTTAGTGTCGCTGCGCCCATTATGTGGAATAACTTTTAAAAGACAGTTAAGTTGTCCTCTGTTGTTTCAAACGGTGTTTTTAAAGATCTAGTATCTGAACTACCTCAGGAAGGAAATTGCAACTGTATTAAACTGTGTAATCATTGAAGTAGTTCGCAACCTCGGTCTCACGTGTCCTCCCTGCTAAAAATAGAGGATAAATAAAAAAATAAAAACTGTTTTTGTACTGAACAAAGTCAATTCAGAGAATAAGTGTGTTGTTGTCAAGTGTTGTTAATGTTGAAATGACACATTAAGAAAATGATTGTAAAAGCATCTGCAGAAGACACCAACAAGTGAAAGTCAGGAGAAAGAGTTGAAAGAGGGGGAGAAACAAGCAAATAAAATATTTTATAAAAATTTGGAGCATTCATTTGGCGGCAAAATCAACAAAACAAAACCTGAGATATGTTCGGAATCCCCAAAACACTGAAAAACCACACGACCCTGCCAGTAACTCTGTTTACCTTTAGCGGATTAACTAGCAGTCCAAACGTTTGAAATAATGAGTCATAGTTTGTAATATATCTGCTATGTGTAAATAATCAAGTCACCAAATGTAAATGATTATTACAAAAAGAAGGAAAGACGAGTAAGAAAGAGCAGACGTTTGTAAAAATGTGACAGAGACTTTGAAGGAAAGTCGTCCAAAATCAAATTGATGGGAGTTTGAGAGTTTACATTTCAGAGTGACTGACCTTTCCAGGACTTGACCTTTCTCTGTGTTGTCTGTCAGATTCACGTATCCGTCTGCTGCTCTGTCCAGTGTTTCCCTTGTGTGACAGTTTGTGTTCGCTCAGTCCATAATAAGCTGAATCACATCCTGCTCCACAGGCTGCGACATGTTATCAGAGAGAGGGAGGAGGAGAGGTGTGTCCATCCTCACCACTCTCACTCTCTCTCTGTCCTTATGCTGTTTACATGTATCTCCATAAATGATTAATATGGAATTTTCAAGTGATAGAACGATGTATACTTAAAGCTCTTTTTTATATAAACAATCTGTAATTCTCTCAGGGGGGGAGGGGAAACATCCCAGTGTCAAACAAAATGAAACTTTGTGTGTCTTGAGGCGTTCTTTCTCAGAGTAATCTGTTTCGTAATCTGACGGAAGAGAGGAGTATAGGTGCTTGCACAAGTTCCCCTGTGTCATTGATGCTGGGCACACAAGCGCAAACATGCATGCAGATCCCACACACACACACATGAACACAGCAACAAATAAAACGCACACTCACCAGTTCATACAGGCCTCTGACGGTGACAGGAATGTTTGGTAGAAGTGGAAAGTGTGGAAAAGCCCAAAGCTGAAGCTCAATCACAGATTCACCAACAAGCAGTTTTTGGAGTTTTCCTTTTCTTTTTTTTTTAACCCTTTTTCCCTCCAGAGGAAGAACATGCAATGAAGAAAAACTTCCTTTAAGAAAGTAGAAACCTTGAGTAGAACAATCTGCTGCAGCTGTGTGGGGACAGTGAGGTAGAGAGGGGTACAGAAAGAAAGAGATGCAGAGACATTTTACTGGTATTCTCAGGCGGTCTCACATCCAAGCTCTAACCAAGCTCGGCTTTGTTTATTAAAATTACATTTGCACATTTCACCTTAACTTTTCCTGGAAATACTTAGGGGGGAGCTCCAAGGAACAAAAACCCCACTGTTTAAGGTTTAAAAAACAACATAAAGGACATAAATAAAGTTCACATAATCTTGTGTTAAACCATTTCTTTTTCCATATTTATCAAGAATTATTAAACCTTTACAACAAATCTTCACTTGTGTCTCCTTTATACTTTTATATTTATCAAGGTTCCTATTCATTTCAATAGCCTGCCTTTAAAACAATAAAGTTGCATTACTATTTTTAGTAAATACATGTTTTTAATGTGGCTGTTGTATTTAAAATGTCTGGTTGGGGATCTCCAGCACCTGCAGGCATATTTTTGATGTGTCCTTGGGCGAGACACTTAACCCCATAGGTTGCAGCAGCTGCTGCGTTGGCGGCGCTTGAATGTGTATGAACGGGATTAGTTACTTCTGATTGACACTTTACACAGCAGCCTCTGCCATCAGTGTGTGAATGAGTAGGTGTGACCTGTGGTGTAAAAGCTCTTTGAGTAGACAGAAGACTAAAAAAAGCGATATCCAAGCTCAAGGCCATTTACTTATAATGCCCACAGACCATATTAGGCAACCTTTTAAAGCAACAAATATGGAACTTTTCCTCCTTCAAATGTTAGTTCAAATTCGATCCAATGACATCAACCACATGTCCACAGAGCTTACAGCTTTACGGCACTAGCTCATCAGCTTTCAGCCAAATAAAAGCCAATCAGACCATCGTTGTACTGAGTGATACAATTGCTGAGGCTTAGAAACGGTAGAGGACGGTGACAGATTGGTAAGAAGAGAAAAGAAAAAGAGAGAGAGACGCAGCAAGAAGCTGGACTAGAGTATTGAATAGGCTTTTATATGTTGTCGAGAGCTTTGGGAAACACCAGGCTGCAAGTCAGAGGCTGATCTGGTGGGTTTTACATCAGTGAAGTTGCCCTCAGCGACCTTCGGCGGGCGCCAAAACGCACCAAACCAAAGTCCTCCTTTAACTATTGAGATTTAGTCAAACCAAAACTAAACAAACGTTTGAACGTTTCATACAAAAAAAACTGAAGTTCCAAGCAGTAATCAGGAATCAAAACAAGACACACACATAAGTGTTTATCTTTTCAATAAATACTAATTGTTACATATTATCACCATATATTTGTCACAATTTTCTTAAATTTGTTTTTTGAATGTCCTAAGTAAACAATACACTTTTTTCAAATCGTCATCAAAACTATTTCACTGGTTTAACCTTTGGACAGACACACTCTGATTAAAATTCATCTCTACTTTTTCTTGATACCTGTTCCCTAAAGGTCATACATGCTCTCTCTCTAATGTTGAACAACCTCTGAATACATTTTAGTATTGATCGTCTAACTGAGCGAAACACAACCCCACAGGCAGCTGATTCATTCATCATTTAATAAATCATTTTGAATCATTCTCTGACTCAGAATATCCGCTCAAGTTATGAAACATTTTTCAGAGATATTAATCATGACCTCAGGCTCTGAAAGCAGAACCTGCTATCAGGGAGAGTTAACATCAATCTGTTCCACTTTGTACCACAGGGGGGCAACACCTCCACAGTGATCTAATCTTCAGCTCCTCCTCCTCCTCCTCCTCCTCCTCCTCCTCACATAAACTTGACACTCAGCAGCTCCTCCTCAGTGAAGCAACAGAGTCTGACTCTATGATGACAGTTTTGCCTTTCTACATGTGGTTTGGACATACTCATGGTATCAGAACATGCTGGAAAGCAGAAGACATAATGAAGCAGTTTCACTATGTGCACAGAAGCGGTTGCTAACCTGTAAATGTCATCGCCCACTCCCACTCGCTTGTAGTGAAATTTCCAAAATATTTCCTCACACTGGTTAACCTTGACTTCATGCTGAAAATTTACTTTTGTGTGTGTGGGTAAAGTTGGAGCGAAAAATTCAGCTGTTTGTGTGCACACATGCAACTTTCCCCAAAACTTTCAGGAATTTTTCAGGAGCTTTGTTCATGTGTGAAATCGCTGTATAGCCGTATGTGCACAAAACTCCTGAAAACTTCCTGACATTTTTTGGGTGAGCTGCATGTGTTAACGCAAACTGGCCAATTTTAAACTCTGACTTCACTCGATCGCGCCGGCCCCCTTGCTAAGGGTTCAGTGCATGGACTGGAGAATTGTCCATCAGGTCAGTATTCGTCTTTTGAACTCTTGAGCATTACACACCAATACAAATGTTACATTCCCTTTTTGTAAAGTTAATATAGTCGTAGCAATGCAATAAGTCTTAACTCTGTGTTTATAGTCTTATTTTTGGAGGCTGAAGTTTGCAGGGCTGTTTAATGCTCCATGTAACTCTGAAATATATTAGATTTTTGACCAGTTCTCGTTAGTTTAATTTGTTTTTGTTAAACATCTCAACACTATCTGCAGCCTCAAAAGTGACCATTAAATCAAATTGCTGACTGAAACTGTTTTAACAGCTGGATAGTAACATGCCTTTTTTTCTTCTTCACAGGTAATGAGAACTCTGCATGAATGCTTGGATTGGCAAAGCTACTCGTGTATGTTTAAAAGTACTTTAATGAACATTTTAGTAATTTACAATTGCACAAATACTGTAAACCAATAGTTATAATCTTAAATGTATGTACATGTACTGGGTCAAGAATGTATGAGCTGTGATTTTTAAACTACGGTAATGAATAAAGATTAATTGGAATTTTTAAAAGATGTGTGTTGTCTCTTTTTAATTAGAAAACAATCTTGAAAGACTGTAAACTGGGATTCAGAATAACCATCAGTGGCTTGATCATGACAGTAATTTCAGATGATTTACCGGTATCTATTGGCAGGTAGACAATCTGTTTCAAGATTTTTATTTGTCACATGCTCATACAGATGTGCAGTGAAATGTAAGGACTGTTCTGCACAGCCATGCAATAAACACTCAAATTACAAATACACATGGAATGTAAAATAATTTGAATATAAAATACTTAAAGCTGGATATAATGTTTCAGTCTCTTAACAAAACTGTCAGAATATCATCATGGTGATTTTGGTTTTAAGAAGTTAAGTATCTGTATAGTTCTGTTAAGCAGACCCAAAAAGGGTTCTGTGAATGTTTCAAAGCATTAAACTAGACTGAACCCACGTAGTCGGGCAACCAGAAAAAAATACTATCTCTGGGGAAAATTGGCTAAATGAACCTCACCTAGCAGATATATTTTTCTAGTTGTTTAGTTTATAGAAGTTGGCCAAAAGGGGGAAAATAGTCTTAAGACCTAAGCTTTTAAAGCTAAAATGAACCTGGTTGGTGTGGAGTTGATGCTATCTGAACTACTTCCATGATCCTCTTTAGCACTTAAAATATGTAAATGAAAATCAACAAATAGGTTGTGAATTTTTATTATATAAAATTGTGAGAACTGTAAAGTTTACATTGTTATAAACGCGAACTGGAATTTGATCTGTTACAGCAATGCAACGTTTCCACGAGTAGATTTGGAGCTGTTTCAGTAGTTTTTTTTTTTTTTTTTTTCATAACAGCCTTGAAAAATAATAAAACACAAAAGGTATAAAAAAGTTGACAATTCAAGTATACATGTCAGGTTTAAAAAAAAAATACAGTAAAAATCTTGCACATTCATCACTGACGCCCAGTCGAACTTTTTACTTCACAAAAACTATTTCCAAAAAAAAACACTTGACAGCAGCCTCTAAGAGAGTTTGCTTCTGTACATTTTTGAAGCTTCTCAAGTTGCTTTAAACAAAATCCACATGTAGTCTTGTGCTGATATTCATGCATAAAACTCATTGGAAGCTCATTTTCCGTTTCGTAAAGGAGGAGTTCCTGTGCTGCTTGATTCAGCAAGGTCTTTACTTTGTCCCCGAATCTTTTTGGTTCCTGTTTGGTCCAATGACGTTCCCTCAAAGAGTCGCGCCATGAAAGCAAATCCGCTCTGCTTGATGTAGGACTTCCCAGCGAAGGTGTAGAGGACAGGATTGGCACAGCTGCTGATGAAGGCCAGACATGAGGTCACTGCGCGGCTATTTTTAGAGATTTTGTCCAAACTGTAGATAAACAGAAAATCAAAACGTAAAGTAATGCTGAAGAGCTTATCTTAAACCACATTCTCTCAAATCCATTGAAAAACTAATATCCATGAATGAAGAACTGCTCATAGGGCCAGGGGAAGAGATGCAATGTGACATCAAAGAGACAAAAAAAACCCTCTAAGACGTTAAAAACAGCCACATGATAACACACAAAGTCATACACTTAACACAAAGGCTCAACATAAGTACGGAGGGACAGAGAAGGACTACATCCTCAAAAAAAACTACACACAGACCCAAAACCACAAAGTGACAACAACATGAAACAAAGACACAAAGAGGCAAAAAAAAAAAAACAGAGATGAACACAATGACTTCAGTTAAAACACAACTAGATATAGAGAAAAAAATACACAAATTGATTACCCAGTTGACATTTCAAAAAAAACAAAAAAAACCTTTAAAGAAACATTCAATGGGGACAAAGAAAAACACAATTTGACGACAATTTTTTTTACAATGTGACACAAAATGACTAGAGGGACACAACCAAACCAACTACAGAGACACAAAACAACCAAAAAAGTGAAAGTGAATGAGAATAAACATTAAAAAAAAAAATCACTACAGAGACATAAGAACTACAGACAAATACAAAATGACCACAGCGACAGAACCATAACAAGAAACAAACCAACAACCGCTTAGTAACACAAAACCCAACACAGAAGAGAGACATGGACTGACCATGAATAGACGCAAAACAATAAGAGATAATGAACTACAAATACACACAAAACAACTACAAACACACAACCATGATAAGCCACAAAACTACAAATAGAAAGAAAAAGGAATAAAGAGAACAAGATGATGACAGAGACAGAGAGAGAGAGAGACATCTACAGAGAGACAACATGCTTAGAAAATGTCACAAAACAGAAAGATGTTCTATGTAAGTCTAATAAATGCGCATCAAAGTTACAATTTGGGGTGAAGGGTCCACAGTTATAGTTTGTTTTCATTTTTGACTTGAAAGAATTTTACAAATACAGACCAATAAAAAACCTCACGTCTTTCTTTCTATTGAACTCCATGGACTGGTCCATTTATTTTTAAATTCTAAGATGATTCACTTTCTGACTTTTCTGCAATGCAGTTGTTATGTCCCCCCCAGAAATAAAATCTTAATGACTCGGGGTCACAAGTTAGGGAACTAAAGAAACACTGCACTTGTTTCAAAAGGGTAAAAAAATATGTGGGCCTTGGGTTTCTTAAAGGTCACATATTCTCCTCCTTTCCAAGCAGTTCAAATACGCCTCAGAGCTCCCCAAAAACATGTCTGTGAAGTGTCTTGTTCTAAATCCACTCTGATCCTATATTTGATCATGTCTATAAACCCCTCTCTTTCAGCCCTGCTCAGAACAGGCTGTTTCTGTGTCTGTAGCTTTAAATGTAAATGAGCTGTGTCTGACCACGCCCCCTTTCTGGAAGAGCTTGTGGCTCTGGCTCTTTCACTCCATGACTTATTGTTTACGATGAGGAGGCAGACTCAGAGGGGCAGAACAAACACCTAGCTGTGGGAGTGTCACCCACCTGGGGGAGGGGTTACGGCCCTTTGTGATGTCATGAAGGGAAAATCTCCCTTCATGACATCACATTTTCTGAAAAGTGGAGCAGGCAAAAGACTTCCACCTCCCTATTTATCCTCCCAACCCAGCTGATTGTCATCAGCCATCAGCTGAGGGAGAACATCACAGGTACACTCGATGACTCCTGATGAGCAAAGAAACCTGAGACCTAATTAATTGGGAATCTATCCATGACAGCAATAAAAAGGTATTTTGTGTCAAAGTGCTTTTGCAGACATGAGACTCCAATCATGGGCGCCAAATGAAAACATGCCAAATGCACTTTGAGATTGTGGTGGAAAAAAATGTTAAAAATCTTAAGTTACTCACTTTTCTTTTGCCTTTGAACCGTTCTTACACCACTCAGCTGCCACCTTGGAGATACAAAACATACTCAGCGTTTATTCAAGGGGTTCAAAAAATCATTCCTAAAGCAATAACCAGTATTCTGATTTGACAAAACAAAACCTTAATCACGTCCTTACTCACCTGCAGCATGTTTATAGTGTGGTACGGCAGCCAGAAAAGGCCAAACGTCACCACGATAGCCAGGATGAGGTTCTCGCTGCGGACCTTTCTTTGAAACTTGGTCTGTCTCAGGCGCCTCAGGATGAGGACGTAGCACGTTATGATGACTGAGTATGGAAGAATAAATCCCGTCACAGTCTCTAAGGTATTCTGAAACCTCACCTGCACACAGGAGGATACAAAACAGAACAGATGTGTAAATAAGAACAGATCAAGTTCATCATTTGGACCTAACAGTGTGGGCAGTATTTAGCAGCTCTTAATGCCTGGCTTTTTTGTTAGCTTAGTTTATTAGCTATAGCGTATGAACCAGCTTTGTTATTTGAGTTGTTACATAACTGTATAACTTAATTAATAAAGCATTTAGACCTACTAATCCCTTGCCCCTTTTCACTTCCAGCCTCTAATAAAAAATGTGGTCCCTTCTGGGGCGCCGGTGGTTAGTTCCCACGCTCCATGAAGTCCTAAAAGCAGGCCGCCTCAAATCCGACCTGTGGCTCCTTTCCCGCATGTCATACCCCATCTACCCCCCAATCCCCCCCCCCAATCTCCAACTCTATCCAGTGTCTTAAATAGGGCATTGGTTCCCAACTGGTGGGTCAGGACCCAAAATTGGGTCACTGAGTAATTTCCAGTTTTTTTTTCCGTCAGATGTTTTGAGGTGCAAAATGTTTTTCATTAAATACATCTGATTTGTTGAAAAATATCAGAAATTTGGGTTATGATTTCTCATTAGGGAATTAGTGGTTGAGGTCCTGAGGCTAGACCAGTTGAGAACCTCTGCTTCAGGGTATGAACACCAGATAAAGACAATAATTGTTTGTTTTGTTCTAAACCTTCTTACATGTCGAGCCTCGGTGTGATTGGGCGCGCAAACCAATCTTTTCATACGCTTCTCATCTAAGTCCACTCTCAAATTTCGAAACACCAGCGACGGGATGGAGATCAACATCACCAGCACCCACGTGCCAATGATAGCCCTCCTCACGATCTGCTTGGTGACGAGGGACTTGGCTTTTCTCGGAAACACCACGGCGACCATCCTGTGCACGCTCATCAGCGTGATTAGGAAGATGGAGGCGTACATGTTAGAGTTGCACAGGTAGAAGGCGCCTTTGCACATGGCGTCACCGAACACCCACGACTGCTTGGCCAGGTAGACGATGAAGAAGATGGTGAGGGCCATGAGGATGCCGTCAGCGCATGCCAAGTTGAGGATGAGGAGGGTGGTGACCGATCGTTCCCGGGTGCGCGCCAGGATGCTCCAGATAATGAAGAGGTTGCCGGGGACACCAAGGAGGAAGACCAAGCCGAGGATGAGGGCACTCAACGTGTTCGTGAAGTCATTGCTGACCACACTGTCATCCTCTGGGTTTGTGACATTGATGTATGTAGGCGTGGTCAAGAGGGACGGACTGTAGGACTGGCTCATACTGGGAGGATCCCTGAGGGTAAGAACAAAACACTTCTTTTTTTAGATTGGTTCTTTGATTTATTTTACTCACACAAAATAAACAGTAAAACTAATCAGAGTCAGTTTCAAACCCCAAAACCAAACTTCAAACATTGTCAGTCATAAACACACTTAGAGATTTGGATTAATGCTTTTTTTGTATCTGTTGTTGGATCTTTTTCTACTATTTTCTGCTTGTGTAACTGTGCATGAAGTACATATTTTCTTCAACATATGAAGCAAGATGTAGTGCACTCAGTCACCTTGTTTTCACTGCCAACTGATACAACAATCGAGAAAACAGGCATATTCAAACCAAATAGGGCAGGTTATAAACATCTCTGTTTTTTGCACTAGAACATGCACACATGTTGGGTTTTTTTTTGTCCGTGTCTGTGGATCAGCACCTGCTTTCAACAGTGATTAGATCTCTGCTGAAGCATACAACTTACAAATCTTATCAATATCAATCCCTCAGGAAATGTTTGTATGCTTATCTCCCATCTTGTGGTTTCACAGATGGTGTGAAACTGAAAGATCTTTGCTCTGCTAAGGTTTACCAAACCATGTGCTTCTGACAACCTTTCACTATATTAATCTTTCTTCACATATTTTTGCAAATGTCGAGAATGATGTGGACTTTCTCTGCAGCACTCAACAATGTTTTTAAGTTAACAGCAACAGGTCGCAAAAGATAACTTAGGCCTACCCTCAAGGAAATTATTTGTCACTGGGAATGATGTCCAGAGAGAGTAAAAAGATATAAACAAAAGCATATTTGTTATTTAGTCACTTAACATAATTATTATTCACATCAATATGATATGATGGCCCAATATCACAAGATAAAATCATGATGCAGTGATCCTGTGATGATGCTCGATGTGATGATTCATTATAGGAATATAAAATGCCCCAAAGAGAGACTGCTGTAGAGACTTGGGTTGGGAACCAGAGGGTCGCCGGTTCAAGTGCCCATGCAGACCAAGTCTGGTAATTTGTCTGCTAGCTGGAGAGGTGCCAGTTCACTTCCTGAGCACTGCAGAGGAGCCAAGAGCAAGGCACAGAATCCCCCCCCACACTAGCTCAGGTGGGCAGCCTCCTCACCTTGACACCCCTCCATTAGTGCATGTTAAATAACAGAGTGTAAAATTAAAAGTTATATCTTCTAAATAGGTAAAGGGCAGGACTGATTTATGTTTTTACTGCATTTGGTTGTTCAGTTTAACTTCTTATTTTCCTTCATCTTCTCTTAACTGCTGTCCAAAATGATTCTGCTGTCTGTTTCTTCTTCTTTGCAAGTACGTTTGCAGTACTGCGTCAAAGAAGAGGAGTATTATGACTCAGATTTTGATTCATTTTAGATTTTTTTAGACTTGTCTTTCATCATCTTTGGATTCTTTTTCACTGTCCGTTCAGATGGAGAAAAGTACCCTGCACGGCAAAGCTCACAGAGGGATGACCTTTAAGACCAACCCTGATTTAAATATGCTAAATTTAAAAATGAAATGCGAGTGATGTGGAGGGAAGGTAATTGGCTCAGTTAATATTTCTGTAAAGCCACATTTGTGAGAACAAGACTTTAGGTCCTTATTTCCTGATTAAGTCCTTAGTTTCCTCCTCTGGTCCCACTAAAACAAACTGTTTATTTTCCCCTGGTGGCTTTAAACGAGAGTGTACGCGTAAACAATCAAATCCAGACATACATCACTGGTTAAAAAATACAATGGAAAGAGAAGTCCATGCAACACATGAATAATGTCAAGTGGAGTCACGGCTTCTCAGAAATGACGGCTTCTTGCAAAATATGTCTTTCTAAATCAAATCAAGGATCTTGAAGCTGTTGCGAAACACAACACAACAATGCTATCTGTGAGGTGAAGGGTTGTCATGATGCAAGATTAGTTTGTAAATTTCAATACAATGCTTATAAAAGTTACAAAATATTTCATCTCTGATTCAATAATATAGAACAATATTAGAAGCCACCCTTAACCAGGCAAACTCCTTCACACTGTGTTGTGTTGGCAATCTTTCTCTCTCTCTCTATCTCTCTCGCTCTCTCTATCTCAAAGCTATTGTTTGAAATATGAACAAAGATCTATAGTTTTTTAAGCGTTGATATTGACCATTAAAATAACTGAGATAATTGAGACAAATTTAGTTAAGATAAAGACACAAACAATGCAATTAATGAATTGTCTTCTCGGCAATGGAGACACAGCAGAAGTATAAAAATACCAAGAAAAGATACCAAGGTTTAGGACTGATGGGGAAAGACGGCGTTTAGTGTCGCTGCGCCCATTATGTGGAATAACTTTTAAAAGACAGTTAAGTTGTCCTCTGTTGTTTCAAACGGTGTTTTTAAAGATCTAGTATCTGAACTACCTCAGGAAGGAAATTGTAACTGTATTCAATTGTGTAATCATTGAAGTAGTTCGCAACCTCGGTCTCACGTGTCCTCCCTGCTAAAAATAGAGGATAAATAAAAAAATAAAAACTGTTTTTGTACTGAACAAAGTCAATTCAGAGAATAAGTGTGTTGTTGTCAAGTGTTGTTAATGTTGAAATGACACATTAAGAAAATGATTGTAAAAGCATCTGCAGAAGACACCAACAAGTGAAAGTCAGGAGAAAGAGCTGAAAGAGGGGGAGAAACAAGCAAATAAAATATTTTATAAAAATTTGGAGCATTCATTTGGCGGCAAAATCAACAAAACAAAACCTGAGATATGTTCGGAATCCCCAAAACACTGAAAAACCACACGACCCTGCCAGTAACTCTGTTTACCTTTAGCGGATTAACTAGCAGTCCAAACGTTTGAAATAATGAGTCATAGTTTGTAATATATCTGCTATGTGTAAATAATCAAGTCACCAAATGTAAATGATTATTACAAAAAGAAGGAAAGACGAGTAAGAAAGAGCAGACGTTTGTAAAAATGTGACAGAGACTTTGAAGGAAAGTCGTCCAAAATCAAAGTGATGGGAGTTTGAGAGTTTACATTTCAGAGTGACTGACCTTTCTCTGTGTTGTCTGTCAGATTCACGTATCCCTCTGCTGCTCTGTCCAGCTCTGACAGTGTCTCCCTTGTGTGACAGTTTGTGTTAGCACAGTCCATAATAAGCTGAATCGCATCCTACAGAGGTGTGTCCATCCTCACCACTCTCACTCTCTCTCTGTCCTTATGTTGTTTACATGTATCTCCATAAATGATTAATATGGGATTTTCAAGTGATAGAACGCTGTATACTTAAAGCTCTTTTTTATATAAACAATCTGTAATTCTCTCAGGGGGGGAGGGGAAACATCCCAGTGTCAAACAAAATGAAACTTTGTGTGTCTTGAGGCATTCTTTTTCCATATTTATCAAGAATTATTAAACCTTTACAACAAATCTTCACTTGTGTCTCCTTTATACTTTTATATTTATCAAGGTTTCTATTTCTTTCAATAGCCTGCCTTTAAAACAATGAAGTTGCATTACTATTTTTAGTAAATACATGTTTTTAATGTGGCTGTTGTATTTAAAATGTCTGGTTGGGGATCTCCAGCACCTGCAGGCATATTTTTGATGTGTCCTTGGGTGAGACACTTAACCCCATAGGTTGCAGCAGCTGCTGCGTTGGCGGCGCTTGAATGTGTATGAACGGGATTAGTTACTTCTGATTGACACTTTACATAGCAGCCTCTGCCATCAGTGTGTGAAGTTGCCCTCAGCGACCTTCGGTAGGCGCCAAAACGCACCAAACCAAAATCCTCCTTTAACTATTGAGATTTAGTCAAACCAAAACTAAACAAAGTTTAAACGTTTCATTCAAAAAAAAATCTGAAGTTCCAAGCAGTAATCAGGAATCAAAACAAGACACACACATAAGTGTTTATCTTTTCAATAAATACTAATTGTTACATATTATCACCATATGTTTGTCACAATTTTCTTAAATTTGTTTTTTGAATGTCAAGTAAACAATACACTTTTTTCAAATCTTCATCAAAACTATTTCACTGGTTTAACCTTTGGACAGACACACTCTGATTAAAATTCATCTTTACTTTTTCTTGATACCTGTTCCCTAAAGGTCATACATGCTCTCTCTCTAATGTTGAACAACCTCTGAATACATTTTAGTATTGATCGTCTAACTGAGCGAAACACAACCCCACAGGCAGCTGATTCATTCATCATTTAATAAATCATTTTGAATCATTCTCTGACTCAGAATATCCGCTCAAGTTATGAAACATTTTTCAGAGATATTAATCATGGCCTCAGGCTCTGAAAGCAGAACCTGCTATCAGGGAGAGTTAACATCAATCTGTTCCACTTTGTACCACAGGGGGGAAACACCTCCACAGTGATCTAATCTTCAGCTCCTCCTCCTCCTCCTCCTCACATAAACTTGACACTCAGCAGCTCCTCCTCAGTGTTGCGCTCATCCATTACATTGCAGCAGTCCTTTTAAACAATTTATTAGCCATTCAACTCCACGGTTTAACAAGCCCCCAAAACTTTCCATTTTACTAGAAAGGCTCCGTGTCTGCACTCGTGTGTGAATACAGTAACAGCATACAACACATGGAACATTCACAATTCCCATTTAGTTTAAACAGATTACCTTGCCCTTATAATAAACACTAAAACTGAATGCCCACGTGAAGACATTTATAAAGTAAGGTTTAATGCAGTTTTATCTGACTAGCTATAGGATTTAATTATATATGTTGACTCCTGTATGTGTTATGATGATGAAGACTCTCATGAAGGAGAATTAGGCTCACTTCAGTGTAAAACCAATAATCATTATTGATTGTGTTTTGGCCCAAACTTTGATCTTTTCTAACAGTTTTGGTGAGAAAACTGAGATATGTGAAACTTTTTTCCCAGACTAATTTAACTATTTAACTTTCGTGCCAACATAACCATGGGTATCACAAAAAAACTGGTAATTTACCCCAAACACTCATAACATTTAGACCGCGCATTACAAGTAGTTGAAGTGGCATCTCTTCTATGTTTGTTTGGGAGTCGATGGAGCTGGGGGCTGGAAAATGATACGTTATCAGCTCAAGTCAGCATAATGAATTGGTGTTTCAGGTACCTATAGCTGGTTTCACATATGCATTACTGAATATGTCTAGATATTTCCAGGCAGGCTGCCCCTGAAATCTTCCAGAGTTGCTTCTTCACACATGTCTCTCACTGCGGGAGGCGGAGGGAGGGAGGGTCTAAAGAGGCAAGACTTGATGGAAGTAGAACAGCATGAAAATGGGGGATGAAGCAACAGAGTCTGACTCTATGATGACAGTTTTGCCTTTCTACATGTGGTTGGACATACTCATGGTATCAGAACATGCTGGAAAGCAGAAGACATAATGAAGCAGTTTCACTATGTGCACAGAAGCGGTTGCTAACCTGTAAATGTCATCGCCCACTCCCACTCGCTTGTAGTGAAATTTCCAAACTATTTCCTCACACTGGTTAACCTTGACTTCATGCTGAAAATTTACTTTTGTGTGTGTGGGTAAAGTTGGAGCGAAAAATTCAGCTGTTTGTGTGCACACATGCAACTTTCCCCAAAACTTTCAGGAATTTTTCAGGAGCTTTGTTCATGTGTGAAATCGCCGTACAGCCGTATGTGCACAAAACTCCTGAAAACTGGCCAATTTTAAACTCTGACTTCACTCGATCGCGCCGGCCCCTGAGTTAATTTTCCGCCTAAATTTGGGATGAGCTTATGTGAGGACACAGCAGGAAATATTCAGGAGAATTCACTGTGAGCAAGCAGAATGGGGTGATGGTATCCTTAAAATCCTGCAGCGAGGGCTTGTGCGCTCTCCTTGAAACTACTTAATTATGTTTTCTGATCACCAGTATGTAATTCTCCGCTCTTCTGTTGATACCAAACTACATGTAGCATTACTATAAAGGCAAACATTGTCAACAAATCTTTGGCCTCTGTTGCTTCATACATTACTTTCGAATCCTTTTGACGTCATGTACTGCCACCTGAGAGTCCCTCCCCTCCTGTATGACAGGGAATCACACACATTTAGATTATGAATTATGAAGTATCATTAGCTGTTTTCACACATGCACTCCTGAATATTTCTTGAGAATTTCAGGCAGCCTTGCCCCTGAAATCTTCCTGGGTTGTTCGTCCTCACATGTTTCTCACAGCAGGAGACAATGCCTGTCGAACACAAGGGGGGTGGGTCTCAGGAGGCAAGACAAGACTGTGAAAAAATGCCTTTTTTATCAATGCTTCGTAGTTCAGCAGCACATTCACAATATGGCAGAAATAAAACATGAAGCAGTTTCTTTACCTGCATGGTCATGCGCTATACAGTCCATGGTTATGCACCAGTTTCATGATATACGCAGAGACCTTTGGTGGGCGCCAACGTGCACCAAACCAAATTCCTACATACTGTTGCTTTAAATGGCAGTGAGTTCAAGCGAGGTCTTTAAAATCTAGAATAAATGTAAGAAGTGGACACAGTTTTAACTTCTGCAATTACAGGCCAAATAGGTATGAAATAGCCAAAATCAGCCGGCAGATCCAAAATTGAAATCCTGGCGCCACGCTTGAGCCTAACTGGTTAATTTTCTGCAAATTTCAGGAGTGTAGTCCATGTGTAAAAGGGGCTCTTGGTTTTGTAATACGGCCTGGCAGTGCCACATGGTGAGTTGATAAGGTATCTGTCCCATGGGCCCCCCACATTTTTTTGCTTTGGTCCTGCTGGTAGCACATTATTTTTCTCTCCATGAGCATAACTGCAACAACTTGAGATCAGTCCAAGATCGGAGGCCTGCCCACACAACCCCCGAGAGGATGACAGGGAGAGTGAAACAAGCTCCCAGTTACACACCAGTACAACATCGGCCTAATCATTGTGAGAATCAGATGAGGGAGGACAGAGGGAGGGGAGAGAGACAGAGAAGGGGGATGGGGGGTAAGGGCAGAGGGGGGAGAGAACCAGAGAGAGTGTGTTTATTTAAGTTTTTCGTCTCCTGACTCAGACAGAGAGCAGACTGCAGAGGATAATGAGAAACAGATCTTTAGTGGAGAGGAAGGGGAGGGAGGGGAGATCGGAGAGAAGGAGGGACAAGGAAGGAGGAGTGGGGTAAAAAAGAAAAAAAAAAGACGAAGAAGGAGAAAAGGGGAGGAGAGGGACGAGTGACGGCCAAGAAAGGGGGGCAGTCGTGTTTGTCGCCACAGGAAATAGGCCCTCTTATGTTCACTTGCTGACAGTTAACATCACAGCCCTGGTGGCCTCGCAGGAAACCTACAATGGCAGGTTTTAGAGACAGAGCTGCTTGCCATGTGTCCTGCTCATGATTAGAATAATAATCATATTGTGTTGGGCTTCATGACTATTTCACAACTGGGAAAAAGTTATTGATGCCATGGTTGATATGGTTGATACACCTCAGGGACAGAAAAACAAGAAATGATGCGGATGATGCAAGATAAGATGAAAACTGAAAAGAAAAGCCAGATGTGCAGAGTTTAAAATGTGTTTAGGTGTGGAGAGTTTATGTGAAGAAGTGACTGAAAGAGAAACCTCCAGAGAGAGTGAGGAAGAGGGGAGAGGGGGGAAAGGAGGGAGGCTGGAGGTTGGGCAGAGGGGTTTCATGACTGACAGGCCCAAGGTCCTATGGGGGATGACTAACGGACCAACTGGAGCTGGGAAACCCACCCAAAGGCAATTAAGGGTAAAGGACGACAAAAATATTTGATAAACTTTTTTTTTTTTTTCCCTCCTCCTCTCTCTATCTTGAACGGAGAAGAGGAACAACAAGAAGTGGGGACAAGACGAAGAATAGGAAGTTTTCAGGAAAGTGATGGAGTTCGAATGAAAGGCGGACTAAATCTGGGAGTTATGTTTCGGGAAAAAAAAAATCTGTCAGATCTCATGGACGAAGATTTGATCTGGACCGCAAGGCATGAAAGTTGAAAAAGTTGCAAACATCCGAGCGAGAAGAAGGAATCATCGCGGGGGAAAAAGTTGCTGAAGATACATCAGAATCAAGAGGAAGATTTGCGCAATGACGCGCGCGTAGGAAACAGATCAAAGTTTTGGGAATATCTCGGTTCTTTTTTTTTTTTTTTAACTGTTTCACGGACATTAAAGTCGCTTGAAGGGATAAGATTGTATCACTCTATCTGTATCCGGGGGGAGATGGGGGCCGCGCCGGGCTCGGGCTGGGAGGAAGGCGAGTTCGAGTTCAAGTTGGTGTTTGAGGAGGACCCTCCGCTCCGGCAGAGCCAGGGGCAATCCCCGGCGCGCGTAGCCGATCCGGAACGCTCCGTTCCCGGGGAGGAGAGTGAGGGAGCCCTGCTGCACCTGGAGCCCTCCAACAGCATCAACAGCAGCAGCAGCTTGGGTTAGAGTCATTTACTGGATGGTTTAATGTGTAACATAAGAAGTAAAGGGACAAAGGGCTAGTCGCTTTAACACATGGGAACCTCTGTATGTGTGTGTGTGTGTGTGTGTGTGTGTGTGTGTGTGTGCGTGCGTGTGCGTGTGTGTGTGTGTGTGTGTGTGTGTGTGTGTGTGTGTGTGTGTGTGTGTGTGTATCAGAAGTTGCATGTGCTTTAATGCGAGCCTTCATGTGCATGCCTGTGCTCATATGAAGTGTGTAACTGCAATGTGTGTGTGCGTGCCTCAATCCGTAAGCATGTGAGCACATTGTTGTTGTGTGTTTGTCCTGTGTGCATGTCTAAGTGTACTCCTGATTGCGTGAGTGCATCTGTGTGTTTGTGCATGTGTGCGTGCAGCCCTCAGACTCAATGTGTTTCTAATCAGCTGTGCGTGTGAGCAGAGTTAACAGCTGCCATCTGGGAAGGAACCTCAACCTCTGTGTACTGAACACGCATCACACACACACACACACACACACACACACACACACACCTCCCTCCCTCCGTCCCTCCTTCACTCACTCAACCTCCATCTCCCTCATTTTTCCCTGCACACACACCTCGTATCCTCACATCCACTCTCCCTCTGTTGTTTCCCGCCCACACTGGCATACACAGTTGTATTACCACCACACCCAAGGTATGAAAGTAAAATTGCAGGAGAAACAGGAGAACAAATTCATCAAGCAGTGTGATAGATTCCCAGAGCATGTAAGGCCTACCTTTACATGGGGGTGTTGTTGGCCCTCATGAAACTTTTGTGTCACTCCTGGTGGCCATATTCATGTCCTCCACTCTTCACTGATACAACATGAAAACAAGTAGCCTAGAACAAATCCCTGGTCTCTGTTTTGGTGTATTTTACAGTTTTAACCAGTTACTGTGTTAAAGGGAGGAAAGGAGCCACTGCGATGTCACCTAATGGTTTGAAACCATTAGCATTTTGGCCTTCCTAGTTGTTCAGTGCTAGCCCTTTTTTGTGAAGACCGTCGATGAGGAGACAAGACAGGGGTCATGAAACACTAAGTTAGCCCTGATTTACTAAAGTCATGCAATCCGACGGCTCATTCATTTTCTGGTTTATTAGCTATAGCTAACAAGCCAGCAACGGTGAGTGTAGACACATACCTGCTAATTAGTGCTAACATTGGCAATTAAGTATTAATGATACCGTTTATGAAAGGAACACAGACTTCTTGGACACAATTTAAGTATAATAACCCGCGCAGCAGGCAATATTCTTCGTCCAGTACACCCACTTTACTTCAGTGACTCACGTTAGCTAGGGTGACTCGTAGTAGACCGCTAGTCCAAACCCTTCATTTGCATTGTTATAATTTAAACAGGTGAGGTTTACACTAAGGATTTTTCAAAAATATGTGAAAAGTCATTGTGTTCAAAAACTGTCAGTTAACATTGGTAAAAACCCGCTGCATTGAAAACATCGTGCTCAGTATATGCTAAAACAATATGTGACATTTTCTGGTATGAAATGTTAACGTTAAACCTCAAGTTGGTGGAGTGAACCCATTGCTGGAAACTTCACCTGCTTAAAAATCCCCAAATCCAATGAACGAGTGACGAGTATAGGCTTCAACCTCAGAAGCCTTTTTTGGGGGGCTTACATTGTAATTGTAAGATCAATTAAAATGTGGGACCTTTCCTAGCTCATTAATATATTTTTACAGTATTTTATTGTTTGGTCACATATTTTTTTTTTACGTTTACCCAAACGTTGCTATGGGCTTATCGTGGTTATGTGTTTTAAAGGGCCCATATTATGTTTTTTCTAGTTTTATATGCTCTTTAGTGTGTTTTCCAAGTGTCCTGTGCATGTTTAGGAACATCTATTTGCAAAAATTCAAAGTCCGCAGAAACGCGGCTTCTCCTACGTCCTCCTGTTAGCTGTAGCATTAGCTGCATGTAACGCTCGGTTCTAGCCCCCGTCGATAAAAATTTCACAGTGTGACATCTTGTCAGTGTGAGATCACTGATCTAAGCTCATTGGCTCGTTGTGGCAAGCCCAGCAGCTCATGTTGCACGCCCGTTAACTTCTGTAGCACGCCCACGATATGCCGTAGCCTGCGGTAGCACAGTAGTGCTAAGGTGCTAATGTTTTTGCTCCCCGGCTCTCGGAGCCAGAGTGGCTGAGCGACTGACCAATTACGGCAGAGCCGACAGGCCGACCAATCAGATCAGACTTGGCACACTGGGGACTCTGAACGTGGGCACTTCAGAGCCTTAGAGAGAGAGTCAGAAGCGAGCCGGTGCATGGAGCGGCAGTACATGAAAACAGACACTTTTTTCAAACTTTAACTATTGTGAACATACTTTAGTAGTAGATTAAATATACGAACCCCAAAAAGGGCATAATATGGGCTCTTTAAACTGGCAAAGAGATCCTTACTCAACTAATAAGGAGTAAGGATTAAGTGCATCGGGAATCTTTTCTATCGTGGTGTTCAGCTAGCGGCCCTATGTGGGTTCCCAATCCACAGGTTGTAAACCCCTGATTTAAACGTTACTTTTCTGTGAGAGGTTCAGCTCAGGACACAGAACAAAATAGTACAGTATATTAGATCTCGCACACATGAAATCGGTTTTTATAGTGTTCAATAAGTGTTAGGTACGTTTTGTGGCCCATAAACTTCTCTGCTGGTCCGCTCACAAACATCTAAATCATTGTTTCATGTGAAAAATCCTCCAGCAGAAGTTGCCTCAGCGCTGCGGCTTTAATCACTTGGAAATATTTTTTGTTGCCAGGAAACATTTGAAGAGGTTTTTCACCCCGAGTCTTAATTTGCTGGCAGTTGCCGTTGTGTGTCCGTGTGTTGCCCCAAAAAAAATTGCCTGTGTGGCCCACCGCCATTCAGTGCAACAATGATGAGCTGGAGCCCTCGCTCATTACAGAGTAACTACTGTTTGGCTCCGTGTGCAGGCAGACCACTCCACGTTTGTGAAATGCTGTGGTGACGACTGTGGCCTTGACTGTGGTATCTTTCGGATGATTGTTCGGTGATGTCAGAAATGTTTTGCTGAGAATTTTTCTGAAATAAAACAGGAGATGTCAAGAAACGGCCCGATTCATCTGAATAAGTGAGCCAGCAGAGAACTTAATGTTTGGTTGCAGTTCACACTTCACCCTTTACTGCTCGAGTTCTGACTAAAGAGATGGAAACATTTTAAGAAGCTATACTTTAATAATCCAATTCAATTTTACACTCTGTTATTGAGACATGCAACACACACACACAGGCTGAAACACACACACAAGCATGCACAAACAGGATCATATGGACATGCACTAATGGAGAGATGGCAGTGAGTGGACTCTTTATGCCTTGTAGAGACAGGACAGTGGAGAGAGTCAGAAATCAGGGAGAGACAGAGAGTGGGGAGGGACATTCGGGAAAGAGCCGCAAGTCGAATCGAACCCGGGCCATCCTTTATGAGAACTGTATCCTCCATACAAGGGGTGCGGTACAAGGGGTTCACTAACCACTACGCTACCGGTGCCCCAACAAAAAACACTTTGTGGCATTCAAGCCAGTGTCGAGGCATATCTTCTTCTCTCTGCTGTTTGTGTGTCTCCCAGCACCTACATGATGTGTTTATAACCAGCCTTTAAGGTAGCTTAGCTTAGCATAGAAGGAAAGAGCAAACATGGCACACAACCACTCCTGAAACCATTATGTGTCAGCAAAAAAAAAAAGAATAAAAAAGCCACACTTGTTGTTTACCCTCTTTCCAGTCTCTATGCTAAGCTAAGCTAACTGTCTACTTTACACAATGTGTATATGGTAACAAAAAATAATCTTAGCAAGTGAATTTGCTTTTCCTAAAGATAGATATATAGATAGATAGATAGATAGATACTTTATTGATCCCGAGGGAAATTCAAAGCATCCAGAAACAAACTTAAACTGTGCAATTAAAAAATAGACGTATGACAAGAAATGTACATAACCCGTGCAGGGATAAAAATATGTGTAATTTAAACAAGAACCTATAAACAGTTGAGGAAAAAATCTGTAATTGGACCTGAATATAAAAACTAAAACTAAAAAAGTGTTGACCTTCTGAAGTTGGGTTGTTTATATACAACGGGGCAGCAGTAGCTCAGTCTGTAGGGACTTGGTTTGGGAACCGGAGGGTCACCGGCTCAAGTCCCGGTGCGGACCAAACATGGAAGTTGGTCTGGTAGCTGGAGAGGTGCCAGATCACTTCCTGAGCACTGCCAAGGTGCCCTTGAGCAAGGCACCAAACCCCCTCCCCACCACCAGCTCAGGAGCCCGCTGTGGGCAGCTCCATCACCCTGACATCCCTCCATTAGTGCATGTCCATAGGATCCTGTTTGTGCATGTGTGTATATTTCAGCCTATGTGTGTGTTGCATGACTTACAGAGTGTGAAAACAGAAATTTCCCCTTGTGAGGATCAATAAAGTAAATCTTAATCTTAATATGTACAGCAGTGTTTAAAAAGCAGATAGTTAAAGTTAAGCAAAATTAAAGTATCATTCCTTTATCTAAAAATAAATCAGAAGTCTGTGGCACACTGAGAATAACGTAATTATATTTTTCAGTTCACTCCCAATAAAATGTAGTACTTTTATTTTCAGTGTGCCACGGACCTTTGATTTATTTATTATTTATATGGTATGTTCCTGCAACCGTGTTAAGGCTGTGTATGGGTTACCCTGTTGGCCAATTCTCTAAAGTTTATTTTATCTATTAAGGGGATAAAATTCTTCAGATGCTATAAACACTTTCACTTCAGAGGAAAAGTTCCAGTTGTGTGCCTTTTCCATATGGCAACGATTTCAGATCACTAAACTGTTACGGATGATTTATGGATGTTGAAAATGAAAAATGAATCTCTGCTTGCCACAAATTGGGTTCATAGAAGTTTGATTGACATCTAATGAGTGTTTCTCATGCCACTTGTTAAATTTTCTAAAGATTAATGCCATTTGGGATTCAATGAATGCATGTTGCATGACCCAAAAGCCACAACATGTGATATAACAGCGTGCGTGAAAGAAAGGGAAATGGGAAAATTATTATATGAAAAAATCAGCCAATATAAACTGTAAATTGTTTCCATGTTGGACAAACTCTAGCAGAAGAGAAATCTGATAGCTCTAAATAAGTGCATGTCTATAGGATCCTGTTTGTGCATGTGTGTGTATTTCAGCCCATGTGTGTGTAGCATGTCTCAACAACAGAGTGTAAAATAGAATTTCCCCTCGCAGGATTGGTAAAGGATACCTTCTTCTTCTTAAGTCTTTTGCCATCATGTGCATGTCAATGCTCTGAATTGATCCTATCCGTTTTACCAGTTACAGATAACCACCTGGATGCCAATCATTCAGGACACTCAATCAGCATCCCCAGCCCCCCGCCATCGGCCAATCAGAGGGCTGGGATGCATTCCCCGCCACCACGAAGGGCCCCCGTCCGAGAGTTCAGTGGGACCTACGAGAGCCTGCCGGCACGCTCTGTACAGGTGAAGCAGCTTGTTTACAAACCTCAGAATCCGTCTGCGGAGGTATGGCCATTTTTGCACCTTTTTCATATTTCACTTCATTGAAAACATATTCGTTTTGAACCACTGACTTTATCACTGACATGTGTTTAAGTTTCAACAGCTGAAGTTACTAAAATGTGTGTTTCTTTGAAAGTGAGCTTTGAATCTTTTGAGTAAGTTGCTCCTTAAATTTAGGAAACTTTCATCACACTTTCATACTATGAACAACCGTTTGTTGTAAATGAGTACAACACCAGACTTTGTAAATGACTTAAAAGGGTTCTTGGTGGTTTTCCCTCCCTCTAAAACAAAGTGTTCATTTTACCTTCACATGTCTTGAGACCAGCTGAGAGTGATTCTATTTCAGTGTTACATTTGTCCTCAGAGGACAATCTCTCTTTCATTGTGGGATTTAGCTCCTAATATTTGATTTCACAAGTAAAGTTGATGCAAAGTAAGACAACTGGATAGCGATACAATCAAAAAATGTAGCAGTCTAGGGTGCCATTAGATTAGTGGTTAGTGTGCACGCCCTGTGCACAGAGGCTATAGTCCTCTAAGCGGGCGGCCCGGGTTCAAATCCCACATGCGGCTCCCTTCATTCCCCACTCTCTCTCCCTGATTTCTGACTTAATCAATTGTCCTGTCTCTAAATAATAAAAAGTACAAAAATAAACCTTAAAAAAATGCAGCAGTCTATTGAGCCCTCTGTTGAGGAAATAATGTCCTACAAGTCTCAGAGCTCCCTGAAACATGTGTGTGAAGTTTCTTGTTCTAAATCCACTCTGATCCTGTATTTGATCATGTCTATAAACGCCTCTATTTCAGCCCTGCTCAGAACAGGCTGTTTCTGTGTCTGTAGCTTTAAATATGTAAATGAGCCGTGTTTGACCACGCCCCCTCTTTAAGGGGATGTGCCTTGGGCTTGCTCACTCCATGCCCTATGGTTTTACACTGTGAGGGCAGACTCAGAGGGCAGAACAAACACCTAGCTGTGGGAGTGTCACCCACCTGGGGGAGGGGCTACTGCCCTTTGTGATGTCATGAAGGGAAAATCTCCAAACGGCCTGTTTGAGCACACATTTTCTGGAAAGTGGAGCAGGCAAAATTGGGGGGTTTGTAGACAGACTAGAGACACATGTTAGTGTTAGAAAAACATGGTGAAGTGTACTTGTGCATAATATGTGACCTTTAAAAGTATTTAGGATCTATTAAAATCACAGGTGAAATAGATATCTGCCACTAAAAGTAGACAAACGATCCAAAAATCCAGGAAGTTTATATTTAGACCTGAAGGGTGAAAAGTCTGAACATAAGTCATTCACTTACTTTTTACCTTTTTTTAATCTTCAGTTTGTTTGAGAAAGATGTAAAAAGTGTCAGTTTTAAGTCAGAATAACACTGGCCATCAGTCACAGCTGTGGCTGCTGAGATAAGTCAACGTATTTGATGTTATTAGCTGCAGAACCCTCTGCACCCCTACGTCCCACGACTACAATTATGAATGAGAGAAAATCTGTGAATACTTACTGAACACCTGAGAAGCTGATAGGAGCACATATTTGGAATGCTGCTTGCTTCAAGGTGATTAAACGGTATTTCATTCTTCATCTTGTCTCCAGGTTTCAGAGTCTCGTGTGGTCGAGTGTCCCAGCATCCAGATAACGACTATTTCCCCTGAAGACGACCCGGCATCCAACATTTCCAGTTACTGGGACATGGGTGGTGGCGGTGGTGGCTGGGACCGCGATCGCCTCTACCTCCCCCTGCTGGACCCCTTCAGTTACCGCGACAGATGCCCCGGCTCCCTCAGCCCGAGCCCCGCCTCCAGCCCCTCCTCCCGTGGCTGGCTGAGCCCCGCCTCCAGCTGTGACTCCCTGCTGGTGGAGGAGGAGGAGCTGAACGAGGCCGCCATCAATTTCGGGCTCTCGCCGTCCTCAAGGCCGACTTCTCCTGGAGGTAAAAAGCGTAGAAACTCCCCGCTGGCCTCGCCCTGTACATCACGGAGGGGGAGCTACTCAGACGACCTGCAGGGATGCAACCTGGAGGGCGGAGACTCCATCAGTCTGTCCCAAGCTCCGCCCAGCAGCTGTGAGCTCAGCATCCCGCAGAAAACCCGGAAGACGTCGTTGGAGCAGGTAAAGGCGTAAATATGATTGAATTCAAACTCTTTTCAGGAGTCTGCTTTACAGTGAAAGTGTTGGACCTTGTTTTGGCTTCCAGCTGTCTCCCAGGGAGGTGGATCAGGAGCAGGCTCCGGGACACGGCTCCCCCTGCCTGCTGACTGAGACACAGCAGACCAGACGAGAGCCCCCTTCAGTGGGCATGGACTACCTCTCTGTGCCCCCTGCTTTAGCCTGGGGCAGGACCCGAGCCAGCGCACACAGCCCTCTGTTCAGGCAAGGATACACACCACTGAATTTTATGAAATGATGCAATAATAAACTGTTTAAAGTTAAATACAGATGATTCATCAAAGGGTATATATCTTTCCAGAGAGAGTTTCTCCATTATTAAAAATATAGATAAATGGTCTTAAATAAATGACGGTCCCTTTAGAGTAAAGTTGACCATTAAGCTTGATATGTGTGACTACATGCTATTAAACAGTCACTGCCACAGAGACTCTGCAAAAAATACTTCTTGTCCAAATATGGTCAACTCCTTCCACTCTTATATATAGATTATAATGTTTCATGTATAAATCTCCACTAAATCTAAATGTAAAACTGATGTTACTGGTTTAACACACCTGTAGGTCCAGTGCTCTGCCGCCTCTCGACTGGCCGCTGCCGTCCCAGTTTGACCAGTACGAGCTGCGCATCGATGTGCAGCCCCGCCCACACCACAGGGCGCACTACGAGACGGAGGGGAGCAGAGGAGCCGTCAAAGCTACGCCGTCAGGACATCCTATCGTCAAGGTGGAGCAAAAAAAAAACCTGCTGAAAGAGCAGCCATTGCTAAACGGCGTCTTTAGGAATGATGCACATACTGGAAATGTTTTATTACCTCTGTAGGTTTAACGTGAGAGTATCCTAAACGCTCCTACTGCCTTCGTATCAAATGTGATTTCTAACAAATCCTGAGACAAAGATTTGGTGTGAATGTTGTGTTTTGTGTCTCAGTTTTGTGTTGTGGCCTGGTCACAGTTTGATTCCCCCCCCCCCCCCCCTCTGTGTGTCTGTGCAGCTGTGTGGATACTCAGAGAGGAAGCCGCTCTCCCTTCAGGTTTTCGTTGGAACAGCTGACGACCGATCGATCAGGCCACATCCTTTCTATCAGATCCACAGGTACTCAAGTGTATTCCTATATCAAAACATATTTCCTGGCATTCACGTTCATGTTGATGATGTTCAGCTGAAGACGAGGAAAACTGTCCGCTGTGGCTTTAACCATTGCGTAACCCACCACCAGCTGGTCCAGGAAATGTCCCACACCAGTTACTCTCAACGCAGCTTTAGATGAGCTTGATATAAGACAATGATAATTGTTAAATCTATGCATTAAATGAACAAAAACAGAAACAAAGGCAGGTCATTTTCTTTTTTTGTAGGATTGTTTTTAGAGCAGATTTTTAATATAAAAGTCTGAGTTTGGGGCGCTGGTGGCGCAGTGGTTAGTGCGCGCGCCCCATGTATGGAGGCTGTAGTCTTCCAAGCGGGCGGCCCAGGTTTGAATCCAGCCTGTGGCTCTTTTACCGCATGTCGTTCCCCACTCTCTCTCTCCCTGATTTCTCATTCTATCCACTGCCCTATCTCTCCATTAAAGGCACAAAAAGCCCAAAAATAAAAAGTCTGAGTTTTTTGTTACAGCATAAATGTGAGAAATTCAGGTTTAACTTTTTCCTCTCAGGGTGACAGGCAAGATGGTGGGCACTGCTAGTCATGAAAGCGTCCAGGCGGGGACCAAAATACTCGACATCCCCCTCAACCCTGAGAACAACATGACCGCACTGTGAGTAACAGAGGGACGGGAAACTTCTTGTGCAAAAGCCTGACAAAAAAATGTTCTTATTTGTGAATGCTTTTCAACCTTTTACTTCAATTTCAAGGCTGCGGTTCACACTCGAGAGGGAGGATATTGATAGATATTAATTTAACCACATCAATATTTAAGACTGTGACTAAATCAAATCGCTTTTAGGCATTGCAGCTGCTGACAGAGCGATATGAATCAGGATGTTGCAGCATGTGGATCAACACTTGACTTGTTTGATGTATAGAAATAGAAATATAGAAATAGAAATGTTTGTCTTGCAGCATCGACTGTGCTGGGATTCTGAAGCTGAGGAACTCGGACATCGAGCTAAGAAAAGGAGAGACGGACGTTGGACGTAAGAACACGCGTGTACGGCTGGTTTTTCGTACCCACCTCCCTCTAGCGCCTCCTGTGGCCCCGCCTGGTCGAGTCCTGGCTCTGCAGGTCGCCTCCCAGCCCATCGAATGCTGTGAGTAGCCGCTCAGCTGCAGTTTCACCTTTTTACATGATGCATATCATAGAAGGTTATTAAAGCGACTGTATATTTGTGAGCTTTTGACCTGCTTCCCACATTTTCCTTTAAAATAAGCAAGGCAGGTTTAGTTATAGAGCCTCATCTAACATGAGAAACTCAAAATGCTTTACCCAGATAAAAAACAGAAAATTAACAACATCATTAAGGCATTAGAATAAAAAATAAATTCAAACATGAGCCCCTTAAGGTCGCCTTCTATACAAAAATACCAGAGAAGCTTTTTTTGGGTCAACTTGTCAGTTGCACGTTTTTGTTTGTGAAGGGCCTAAAAATCTGCAGGTTGTTTTCTTGAACAACCTTTTATCAAGCCTTTAACTCTGTTTATATATTCTAGAGGTACTTGAACCCTCAGAGTCAAAGTAACTTACTTAAGTTGTCCGTCTCTCCTCGTTTCAGCCCAGCGATCGGCTCAGGAGCTGCCCGTCATCGAGTCTGTCAGTCTTACGTCCTGCTCTGTGGAGGGAGGGGAGGAGCTTCTGCTGAGCGGCAACAACTACCTGCCAATCTCCAGAGTCCTTTTCATGGAGAGAGGGACAGGTAAGGGCCTGCAGAGGACACTTAAAATGATCTGAGGTCACTGATGTTCTCCGTAGGATCCCCGTTTAAATTAAGCGCTTGAAAACTTTCAGAAATGAGATGGGGGACAAAAGTCGTTTTGTCTGTTTAATCTGCAAAAAACAAATAGAGGAGGCTGAAAATAGCAGCAGTGTTATTACATCATGAAATTGTACAACAAGATTTTTTTGTTAAAAACACTGCGTTGTGAAACAGGCTTAAGCTGTGGTCAGAGGTATCAGGATTCTTCATAACACTACAAAAGGATTTTAGATCAAATTACAGTAGGTTTTTTTGGGGCGCTGATAGCCCAGCGGTTATGTTGCACACCTCATGTACAGAGGCTGTAGTCCTGGGTTTGACTCCAACCCTCTGCCATTTCCTGCATGTCATCCCTCGCTCTCTCCTCACAACATTTCCTGACTCTCTTTAGCTGTCCTAAGTAATACATTTAAAAAAGACTCAAAAGACTTGTTGATAAAAAATTAACAAAAAGAGAAGAGGAGGAGGATTTTGAGGAGGGTTTATTCAATTCTGGCAAGTAGACATCATGTTTGAGAAAGGATCAACTCTTACATCTTTATTTTATGGTTTGAAACATGCAGGGCTTTGAAAATCACTCCTCTGCCTCTCTCTGAGTACTTTTACTTTTGGTAGGATTTGAAAAGCGGGAAATTTAGGAGTAATATTACAACTTTACCAGGATAAAGATTTCAATGCTTCTTCCAGCACTGATCGCGTCTACTTCTAAAGCAGGACCAACCGGGTTTAAATGTAACACTTTACCTTTGATGCAGTTACAACTCATCATATTCAACCAGCTGATTGTGTCTATGTGTATGCAAGCAAAAACACAACAACACTTAATTCTATTTTGTATCAATCAGATGGTAAATTGCAGTGGGAGGAGGAGGCTCATGTTGACCGAGACAACAGCAATGAGGTAATGTTGCACATGTAATATTAGACCCACAAAAATTTCAAAATTAAAATGTCAGTTCTGGTCAAGCATGTAGAGATTGTCCTCCAATTTGGAGCATTCAAAATCTCTTCTTTCCTTCTAGGGTCTGTTGTGTGTGAGGGTTCCCGCCTACAGCGACCTGTCCGTCAATCGACCTGTGTCCGTTAGTCTTTACGTCTCCAACGGGAAGAGGAAAAGGAGCAGCACTCACTGCTTCAAGTATCTGCCCAGTGAGTGTCCCCTCTCCTCCGATTCACTCAGTTTATTGCTTCTCTTTCTCAGGTTTTGTTAAGTTAGTGTGTTTACATTTCACGACGGTGTTAGCGGTCTTCTTAGAGGGAGACACATGAAGGAGAGATTTTCTTTGAAGTTCGAAATACTACAAAAAAAAAACAATTAGTATAAAAACACCAAATGTATAAAAGACTTCATGATTTCCTTCAATACAAATACATTTAAATATAACTCTGAATGTCCCTCAATTATTGTGGTACTAATTCACAATGAGACTTTCTTTTGACGGACACAGAAGACACCCCCCCCCCCCATCAACAAATCTAAATGAATAGTTCTCAGCAAACTCTCCTTTTATTAATGAAAACTAATTCTGCCAACCCAATTTTTAAATGACAAAAAAGATACATTTATCAAATATGTTTGATTAAAAATTGTTTTGTTTTTTTCAGAGAAAACATACATATATTTTTTTCTTTGCTGAAAAGGCAAAAAAAATAATAAAAAATGACAAGCCATATTTAAATAATTAATGGGAAGGATATTTTAATATAAATAATTCTCACTTATTAATTGGAATGTGTTGTTTTTGTCTCACAGTTATGTTTAAAGAGGAGGACCCCCTGCTGTCCCGGCCCTCTGCTCTTCCGCTGCAGGGGGGGTCTGTGTGTCCCGTGGGGGATCAAACCAGGATGGATCGGGGCTTCCACATGAGAGGCGACCCCATGGGTGATGATCGAGGCCTGGGATTCCACCTACCCCCCTACCCCTCCACCTACTCACCCCCTGCCCATCGATGAGTTACCATGACGACTACTGCTCGAAACCAGACTCTGTGCTGGAGGATCCCGGCGGGTCCAGGGCGTCTCTCTCTGAACGTCACCCCAGCTTCGAGAACCTGGAGCTGGGCTTCACCGAGCTCCTTCCTCCCTTGTACCCCCGCGGCCCGCAGCCTCCCTCCCCCTCCCCTTCACCATGGCTGGACTCACCTTACCTGTCCTCCTCACCTTCTCCCTCCCACTCCTCCTCCCTCAGCCCGTTTCCAACCGGCAGTCCCATCTCCACCTCCCCTCTGCCTCCCTTCCAGACCTCCCCGTACCCCCAGTACTCCCCGTATCCTCAGGAGGTGTGTCCATCCCCGCCATCCAACCTCAGCCCGTATCAGGACATCTGCCCAGCGCACTACTCCCAATACGACGGCTGGGACCCCCAGGGAAGGGTGCTGGGGACAGGACATGGGGGAGAGAGGGATGCCAAGATCCAGGAGTTTCCTCTGGAGTTCACCAGCCCTACATCTATGCACCACATCACGTTTGAGGAAGGTGAGATTTTTACTTAACACAATCAGTTTAATTACCTGCTAATAAAACAACAGAAAACTGTCAAGTATGGATAAATAAGTGGAAGGAAAATGTTGAATTATAAACTGACTGGTTGGATAGAAATTGCTTCTGAATTAATTCTCCATATTTTTAAAGTTTCTTGTCTATTGTTACTGAATTAGTATTAATAATCCTAACTGTATGCCACTGCCATAAAATGAGAGTCCTAATGTGAACAATCTGCCGAGTCCTTGCTCGTACCTCAACAGGTGAGAGTAAGCCAGAAACATTAATAACTACTGCTGAGATATTTACATTCTTTACTTTGACTTTAAGGTTTATTTAAGGGAATTTTTCACTTTGTGTCCCTCCGCCTCAGCACAAGTTCTGAATACAGTAAATTTACAGCGAACAGTTTGTCTTTATGAAACAGTCTGATGCTAGAGACGGATGCATCGACTGCATAGGGATGAAGATCTGTCATCTATGCCAATCAATAATGCAAAACATTTAACCAACTTAAGCATTGAAACAATGTTTTATGGCCAAAGTCAGTATTTATTTATTGGACTTTCATCGTGGCTTCTTACTTTAGCAGCTCCACTGTTCAGTTCCTTTGAAATGTCCCTTTAAGGTTGAATCAGGGCATTCAAATTTAAAACTTTGATGACGATTTGAATTGAATTTCTCTTTCCGACCAATAAATGTGAATGAGAGGCTGAATCCCACGCTGATCTGAGCTGTGTGTAAGCTGAACTAACTTCATGATGTCGAGTATTGGAGGTGGATGAATGGACGGAGTGATAAACACGGTTGTGACTGTCTCTCCTCTTCTCTTCTCTCCACAGTGTCAGAGTTCATCGGTGAGGACATCCAGTCCTACCAGTCAGGCTCACAGATGGACAACCGGCCTAACTGACCTCTGAGCAGCTCATGACCCCCCCCCCCTCTGGTATTCAGCATAATTTAAAATCCACTATGCACTTGATATGAAGATGCATTGATGCATGACTGATCATCAGGACACTGTTGTAATTATGACCACAGGTAACTGTTTTATAAAGGGAAACTCATGTTTATAACATGTTTTCAATATAAATTATACAAGAAAGTGCTCGGGGTTTGGTGTGTTTTTTCCACAGAACCCAAAGTAACCACTCATACACGGTGAATTCAGATCAGTCAGGAGAGACAGGTCAATACAGAAAATGATTTATTACAATGAATAACATGGAAATGTGACTTGGCAGAAGCACTTTGGCGCTTGGACTCTATGGGGTGGTTGATGCGTTTGGAGAATGACAACAAATGAATCCCCACATGGAGTCCGGACACGGGTGGTGGTGGTGAAGCTGATGACTTGATGAGAATGGATGGATGATGAATCTATGAAGATGGGCGGTGAAGGGGAGGAGGAGGGTCGTACAAAACATCCCAGGTCGGAACTAAGGCAGAGAAAGAATCATGTTTAAAAGAGGAGCAGAGAGATGATAGGCTGATAATGACGGAGGAACGCCATGCCATTGGTTAGATGAGTACCGCTGATGAGACAGCTGATTATCCAATCACAGCCCCAGAAATGAAAGTGGAAATGTAAGTGAGCGTAAGAGGGATGGATGAGAGATAGACTCAATATAAAGTCTTCAAGACTGAACACTAGAGCTTCAGATTAAAGGGACTGAGGGGAAAAAGTCTTAAAACTGGAAATTTAACTGGAACTGGAAGTTTAATATGCAAGATAATGTTTTCACCACAATCCCACTCAACTACACACTTTATTTTCCTCTGTTTCAAGAAATTGAGCTCTTAATTTTTCCTGAATGGGACTTTATTATAGCAGACGACTTATCCATCTAGCTGTAAAAAAAAGTTACAGAAATGTAATGGAGACAGGATTTAGGATACTTTTTTATAAACTTCGGACTTCCCTCCAGATTTTTGCAATGCAGCTACGAGCCAGCTTCATTTAATTGATAAAGTTTAAAAAACAACGTTTCCTCTCCACCTTCTCTCAGTAGATGTCGGGTCTGAGGCTGGTGTAAGTGTTGAGACCTCAACGTGTAGTGTGGCCTCATGAAAGGCTGATGTGACTCGGCTGTGTCTGTCGAAGCTGTTTGAAAGGTTTGCATGAGAAATAGTTTGTTAGCTCCTCTGTAAACAGAGCGGGTTCGTCTGGAGGAAACAGTGCCACCTTGGGGGTGGGGGGGGGACACGAGACACCTCACACATCCTTAAATCATCGGCCAACTGTTTGAGATTTCACTCAATCTGCTCTCATGCTTCACAGGTCTGATTTTCTTTCCACTGTAACCAGTGTGGCCTCAAGAAAGACAGGCAGAAATGTGTAATCATAGCCGAGCAGAAAAGCAGTAAAAATACATTAATGTAACAAAAAGACGCTAAAGTAGCATTCTATGTTTTCTTGACGGTTTTATGAGTCTCAAATGGTCGAGTGCAGCCAAACATGGGCATGTTAGGAGCCGGAGAACAAAAAAAAAGCCTTAATGGTAAGGGAAAGATAAAGCTGGAGAGGAGCTTTGAACACGTTTTAAAAAAAGAGGAACTTTCTGTTTGAATCTGCAGCCATAACTCCTCCATGACACTGACTGTTCCAGGTCCAGCTTTTTCTCTCTCTGGCTGCAGCTCAGGAAAGGTCGTTACACATGGAAAGTTTATGAGGGGTGAATGTGGCAAAGATAATGGAAGGAACGTCTCCGAGCACAAACCGCTGACCGACGTTATTTGATACGTTCCTTTTTAAACAAGATCGTTTTATAGATTAGACTGCACAGGAGCTGTTTTGTTTGTGGTGCTAAACCAAAGTCAATCTATTTACTTTTGGAGTCGTCAAGAAACATTTTAAAGTTCCAGTTTGGTTTCTCCTCTTCTGTTTTGTTCCTGCTCATCTCCTCCACAGGGGTGTGTCTAGAGAGGTGACATACCCTCCCCCCCCCCCTGTACATTTTCCTGACCTTGCTGTTCACACATGCACCTCACAGCAGGAGACCATCCCTTTCAAACTGGAGGTGTGACAGGGGAACTCCTGAGGCAAGACGTGAGGTAAAAAGTCAACGCAGACAATGAGAATATTTGCCTTTAAATCGATGCTACTTGTAGTTCAAAAGGAATCACACTATCAACAAAAGAGCGGAGACATAAAAACTTAATTCACCTGTTTAATTACAGTGCAAAGAGGTCGTAGTGGTCTTGGTCGTACAGTCTATGCACAGTGCACCGGTCACAGGATATAAACATCACCACCCTCTCCCACTCTCTCAAGCTGAATTCTCCTGATTACATCCTGTTGCATTCTCACTTCAGCTCAATTGGGCTAGCTGTGATAAAAAAAAAAAAAATCTAGCGAGCTGGCAGGAGAAACTCCAGCTGAAGTCCAAGTGAAAAATAAAGGCTGTTTAAACATGAAGCACAATAAAACATGCTTTGTCTGAAGCAGGACTTGTGTTAAAATCAGCTATTAGAGTTGTGTTGCAATATGCTGCTAGCAGTTTTCAATTAATTTAAATGTATATGAAAAGTGTGTGTGTGTGTTGCTATAGATTCTCCTTCCTGTGATTTGATCATCTCAGTTTGCTATCTTTAAGTACGTCTCGATTCCTGAAACACATCAAGGATAAAAAAGTAGGTGAAGCCCCCCACCAGCAGACAGATGGTGATGATGCAGCTACACTATTCATAATATATAAATGATGTCAGTTTGAAATGATGGCCAGAAAGCATAGAGACTATTGATGGACAGGAGTTGGCAGCTGCATGGCTCAAAGGGTCACACACATATACATCCTTTGAGACCTTGATAAGATCCAGAATAAACAAGTGGAATTGCAGTTAGTCCACTTAGCAATAGAGATCTATGTTTGTGTCTTTTAGTATTCAGATTGTCTTTTTCCCACTGCTATTCTTGATAGTCCTGATAGGTGTTTTGTGCAGGATTGGGGAACATACAGTATACTCTTTTTTATTATTATTTAGATACAGTCCTCTGGTGTAATCTATCAGATATCTGAAAACAGAAAGCAGCTATACAGAAAAGAACTTTCGAAAAAAAATTAACAAATTAAAACAGAACAACCTGCAAACTGGTGTCTTACGATGTGCATTTCTCTCCACTCTCTCCAAATGTACATCTTTAACCGCAGTTTAAAGACGTACATTCTTGACGTCTCTCGCGGTTTCTCTTGTAGATTCTGTATTTTACCGTCTCTGATGTGATGCTGAGAAACACAAACCTTCATTTGTCCTTATATTACCTGTACAGCATACTTTCCCATCCTATAAATAGACATTTTAGGTCACACTGACTTAACTGACTCCTGAAATAATTAGTTTTAGTATGACACACAGCGCCATATGGGGGAGTATTTTTTGAAACTTTTTTAATCCTTTCTACAAGAATCAAACTGCTGAATGAAAGAGTTGTAAATTCTTGTATTGGCATCTGGGAACTTATTGTGCTCCTCTACTGGTCTTGTGTCAGCAGGGGGCAGTATAATCCCAAACATGAGACAGCAGCTCTGTCAGTCCGCTTGACTGACATGTACAGGTTCATGAAACAAAAGTCTGTAAGTAGCCTACCCAGCTGGAAATGCCTCCATTAAGATCAAAAGTGCCCCTCTACAGTATGTGTTAACAGAAAGCCTATTATGTCTAAAGCCATCCTCTAAAACTGGAAAGCCACAGTCCCAAAAGACAAGCTAACTATAGGATGACTGAGGTATGTGGGAGCCATACTGAGCTGACTTCTGCTGCCTGTTAATGTGACTTTATACACTTCTGTAAGGACTTTAATCAGTGAAAGAAGAAATACCCAGAACTTGACTTAAATATAACCACAACTATCACTGTGTAAAAATACTTCATCATAGGCCTAAGTGAAAATCCTTAATTAACCATATCAGACTATCAGTCACATAAAATACATATGAATTCCTACTCGAAATATAAGGACCTGTTGTTTCAATTGCACACTTTTCTTGCCATAAAATGTATACTTTGAAAAGATTAATTGTTTTTCTTTTCGAGAAGTAGCCGAATGCTAATGCTAACCTTCTTCTCTGTAAAATTCAGTAAATTATATTAACTAAAATCAATTTATATTTTTATATTTTTTTAAAGCCGATTTCTATCGTACCACGTGAGACCATAAAACCTGTCCAAGAAATGTTACCCGCAGCTAAATTAAAACATTAGCCGTAAATCTTCCAGCGTAGTGCAGGCTCAATTCTTGCTCTCTCTTCTGTACAGAACAACTGAAGTAGTAATGGACCACACAAATCACATTAGAGTAATTTAGCATAGTAAGAGGACATCTGGACAAACGATTTACATTATTTATTGACTGAATAAAGGAGGGGAGATGGGTAGCCAGAGATTCTTTAAAACCTTGGGGACTAAAACAAGACACAGATTATAAGGAATAGTTTTTTTTTGGTATCCATATTTGCTTTATTTTCTAAGAGTTATCTGAAAGGAACAAAGCCATTCTGAATGTCTGTATTGTCAGTTTAAAGCACAGCAGATAGTAATATAGCTTAGCTTTACTAAGTGTGATGACAGTTCTGACCACCAGAGGGCAGTGACGGGAATGGCTCAGAGCTACAAACTACAGCGATGGATTAAAGTTGGACTAATAAGGAAAAAGGCTAATTTGACTTTTGTCCACCAAACATAGATTTCTAAATCTACAAATAAGATAAAAAAAAGCAGCTTCTTTTTAATCTTTTTAATCTCTTCGTAGGCTAATGGCATTATCGCTCTTGTTAGACTAAAGTAGACTGATGCTTTCCTCATGATCTGTCACGTCTAAAGGTCTCTTTTCCAAAACTGGCAAGAAATAGGTCAATGTGTGGGAGTAATGTCAGCTGGAGCTTTTCCTCACTAACTGGATTGTGCAATGCTCATCATGTTGTTTCCCTTGGCTAACAAAGCAAAAAATAATGTACCTTTGCATCCAAGAACGAGCAGAGTCAGAATGTGCTGTTACATTTGAGCTGCAGTCCTTTTCACTGAGCTAATTGTGCTATATTAGTCATGCTATTTCCATGTTAGGATTGGTTTTTGAAACGATTAAGATTTGTGCAATGACCCCAGTGCTGATATAATGCTTAGAAGAGTTTTGTTTTCTTAGCAAAGCAGGCAACTAAAGTGACAAATAGGCCTATAATACTCAGATGTAGCACACAGACTTCACTAAACAAAATATACTGTATATCCCCCCTCTACCACCACACTTTAACCAGTTAGTGCAAATACTCTTACTTCACCATGTTTACACATCTGACATTTTCCTCAGACTTCACAGGGTTGGAAGCTAAAAAAATAAAAAACAACTATTTCTTTATGTTTTAAGTTGTATGTTATCAGGCAATCTGATACTCCCCTATTTGATTTAAAATAGGAGAAATGGGATGAAAAGTAAAAATCTGGAGGGACCACGAGTTTATATTTAAAGTAAAAACAACATATTTGATAACCTGCTCGCTTCCAACAATGAAGCTACAATGACGCCGCACCCTAGCCAATTTCACTGTTTGCTAGCAGTGGCAAAAAAAATGCTAACATAACCTTTTTCATAGCAAAGTAATGTTAGCAAGGAACCGCTTATTTGTTAGCAGTTGTGATAGTATCTATTGAGTTATCAAATATGATGTTTTACTGAGTTAAGTCTGTGTACGCCGTCCCTATAATCCTATAGGCTAACATATTTAAAAGGTAGTTTTAGCATTCAGCCACTTCCTAGCCAACAGGTGTATTAGCCAGAAAGGGGCTAAAATGCGATCATGGGCCTTTTGTATGGCCTTAGCTAATGGATTATAACATTACTGGAAAAGTGGCCTTCATAATAACTTTACATTTTTTGGATTTCCTACATATATACGACAATCTGGAAAACAGCAATAAAATATTATAGCAGTGTTTGAGCCTCCAACCCCAATGTAAGGGGGAAAGTGGCCGCCATGTCAACATAGTCTACTTCACTGCGCCTTCCAAGAAATAGTCCTGCACATGACCCCTATGAAACCATAACTTGTTTTCTCACAGGCCTTAGTAGTTCTTCCCCTGACAAATAAACTGACCTCCATTTGTTAATCTGGTCAAGTTCCCCTTTACATCCCGTGGAAAACAGGAGATCCTTTCCTGGTAGCACCAAATTACAACACACCCAGGGGTCAATGTAGAGTCAGATGACACAAATGTGTTAAAATTACTGTAAATGAGCATGTTAGGGATTAACAACCCAACAAATTACTTCACTTTCAGCTCAGAAGAGCTTGCACAGCTGTTTGCATTTGAGACTCACAGTTTGGAAAGAAAATAGGTTCAGGGCTGAAGCCAAGCAGAGGGCTACAAGCTGTGTCTGTGGGAAGACGAGGAAGCATGTGCCTCAGCACTGAAGGAATGTCAGGCCTTTCCAACCACTCCACATATCTGTGTCTGTTTTAATTAGCAGCATGTTTTCAGTTGTGTTTTCTGTCGTCATTCAAGTGTGCTCGTTGTTAGACACTCGAGTCTTGGCAGAGTTTGGGAACAAAACACATCCATAAGAGTGGAAACAAGATGCTGGGTTTTAGAGTTCTTTCTATGGCCTCCCCGTTTGAGATTGTATCAAGCTATTGTTGTGCTGATGACTTACACTCTTTGTTCTTTTTATGGGTCAGAGTGGGAAGGCAGAGAGAATCAATTTAGTTTCAACAGAAACTCCTCGTGACTTTTTTTCACTCAATACAAGAGCAGCAAAGTAAGTATTTAGATAGTGTAGTTTATGTATACACACTATACACACTTATATACACACTTTCCATATACAAAGGTCACAAAGTGCTTTACATCAACAAATTATAACATACATAAAAACAGGAACAAACAAGTAGTTCATGGGCCGACATTATGTCATGACAACAGCTATGACCAGGAACAATAGTTGGCACAGTAAAACATAGATCATTAGGTAGACTGGGTGGATATGATCAATCATAGGCCTGTCTAAACATAAACTTAGCTGCTTTTTGAAGGATTTAACAGAGTCAGAAGAATGTAAAGCTCACAGAGAGATTCTTTGAAAACAAAAGAAAATGTACCTAAATCTTATTAAAATCCATTTAAAAAGGCCAAATTGAAAGGATGGACAGTTAACATTTTTACTGATAGGGATAGGAGGAGACCTAAATAAAGAGAAAAGCTGAGATAAAGGATTGAATAATAATTTTGATCAAAAATAATGATTTAACAAAAACCTCTAAATATAAAATGTTATGCCTGTCAACACATCTCTGAAAGCCGGACACACATGTCCCTTTAAGCTTTTTCCGACTCTTTAATATTACAACACTTTGAAGAGAGATATTTTCTATGACTCCTTACATACCAGTGTGGTTGGGCTTGATATTGCGGTGTTTCCCTGCCTGAGGGTTAAACCCTTTCCTTAAACAAAACAAACTACATGACATGTTATTGTGTCAGAACTGGGCGTCATTTTGTCGCCTCCTTTCCTGGCCGCTGTATACTAGGAGGCTGAAATGTTTACTGTGTTCCTCTCTGGCCTTCAGAAGTGGTAGTATCCAAGTAGTAAATCCTCCTGACAGTCAAGGCTCTGGGTCACAAATCTATAGATTGTCGTTCAATCTGCAGAGAGCTAAAGGGAATCTCACTGTGAAGGGAGTAAGTGGGGAAAGTTGAAAGGACAGTGAGAGATTAAGTATACAGGGAAGTATAAAAAGTGTGCATAGAGCAGATTCTGATGAAACGTTCAGGTCAAACAGGCCTTTTTGTTCCTTTGTACTATTCGTAAAATCCATTTATTTATAACACTTGTGAAAGTTTTTAAATGTATGGCAACATTAATGACAGTTTTTACAGATCTATTACATTCATTAGTAGCAGGCACGCAGCTCGGAAATTTGAAGTTAGCTTGTGTTATGCAGAAGTGCAAAAACCTGCAGTTCATCAAGTGTCCACAAGGGGCTGGTTTCAGAAGCCCCCGCAGTCACATAAACACCCATTCAAAAATTCCCATCTTTGCAGCAGAAATAAACATGTTTAAATCCTGGTACAAACAACAAAATGGTTATGATAAGCTCAGGTCTTCATCGGCACACATGTAAGGAAGATAATTTTTTAAAAGCTCACCAGTTTAGATTTTATGAGGAATAATAGTAATTCATAATTAAGTTTCTGGCGACCGCCATTGGTAGGGTTCCAGAGCACCCTTCAGTAACCGATGGGTGATGTCACCCAGACTTCATCAAATATTAGTCCCTGTGCATTTTTTCATCTGCCAATCAAAATAAAGACCTGAATGTGTCTGAAAGCAACAAGGAGTGTTGATTCTCAGTGGTCTCAGCAAACCTTTTCAAATGAATTATAATCACGTATGAATGTTAAAGTACAGAATTTTACATAATTGATATCTTAAATGTTCCTGTAATCCGATCAGTCAGAAGTTAGAAGAAATATTGACGCAAATTAATTCAATGAAATATTTGATTAACTCTATGAATTTAATTATTTGCAGTATTTTGAGAAACATCTGTGCTTTGAGCTGAATGCTAAAGTTTGCATGTTTACATCACAATGTCATAGCTAATGTGCTTATTATCTTAATTTAGCATGTTGAAATGTTAACATGTTATGGCAATGTCCTATCAAATCATAATTCTAAGTATTTGACTTATTAAATGTCTGACTTTATGATGGCCACAGATGAAAAGTTATGGCATCACAATTTATAAAAGTTTCTCCTGAAGGGAACAGGATTGTCTGAAATAAAATGTTATCCAATAGTAGTTGAGATGTTTCGCTTCAGAATGAAAATATTGTCATTGTGACACTAGCAGTAATGTCAGGTGATCACCATAGTTTGTTGGATTCAAATGTTTTTGAACACTTTCCTTTCAAACAAAACAGCAGTTCTATGGACAGTCGGGACCAAAGTTGTGCCGACAGTTGTTGTCAACGAGATCCCTTTGTAGCATGGCAAAATCAAGAAACTTGGTGATTTGGCCTTGAACATAAAAAGTTAAATATACGAAAAAAGAAAAACACACACACACACACACCCATCTGTTTACCATGTGGTTTATTGAAACACTGGATTATGTCTTCCTATAACATTGATGTGGAGTAGCACAAAACACAGACAGTGGACTATAAAAAGTTGAATATGGCACTAACAACATTGAGGAAGAGAAAAATCACCCTTAAATACATTTTTCTCTGTATTACAGCAGTACAAAGCCAATAGATCCAATCTTTAAGTGATGGAAGTTGTTATTAACCAGTTTCTTGGCATTTGGAGACACCTGGAATTTAACCACTACCGGACCAAGATTAAGTGCACTTTAAACATTGTTTTTAAATCCACACTTTTGCATATGAACATATATATTCTTGCCATTCATTGAAGCATGCATATGCACATACATAACAGAGAAAAAAAAAGCTAGCCTAGCATTTATCATGTAGCCTAGCAATACCTTTTTACCAACTTGTCCTTGTCTAAGAGCTGTGTAAATAGGACAATCACAATCTGATCAGTTAACAACAACACTTTTTAAAAATAAACAGGTTTGAAACTTGGACTTGGATAAGTTGGTTTGCCAATTTGAAATCTTCAAATATGTCTTTTCTTGTTTTTATATGTTTCTATAATATAATGTATTTTATTCAGCAAGAAAAAGAATACTGCTCGGCAATCTTTTTTATAGAAAACAAACTTAAGGCAGAGCACTGACATAAAAAATATACAAAAAATTAAAACAAAATCACATGAGACGCCATCGTCTTAGGTTTTTCTTTGTATTTTAACACAGAATATGTTTGGAGTGTATGGGGCTGAGCTTGAGATTCTTTTTATAGCTTACTTATATCCAGATCCATAACACCTTATACATGATGCAATCTTTTTACTTGACTATTACAACTGCTAACAAGGGTTATTACTGGAGAAATAAAGGTTTTTAGTATCAGCATGTTCCAGCAATAACATTCAGGTCTCTCAAAGCCAAGACACAAGTCTATCAAGGCCTCTGAGATTGACATTTCCTCGCTCCCACACATGAACAGAAAGCCTCTGTAATTTAAGGGAATATTGATGTACGTGTAAACATATCCAATAACACAGCCTCTCCACCTATCTCTGTGGTCCTAAGGCGGGCAGTACACTCCACACAAAATCAAATTTGGCACGTCTGTTGAGTTTGAGGGCATCAAAACGTAAACCTTTTTATTTGACTACTTAAACCAGACAGCCGAACTTGCCATGTTTACTTCCTCCAGAGCATTATCTGGTACATCCTCGACTACTACAGAAGCACTTTGGACAACTTTAGGACTGCAGTAAACTCTTTGCAAATTTGGAACTGCAAATTGAGTTACACAACAATTTTGCAAAAAAACTAGTTTGGGTATGACTCCAACAGTCTGCTATGGGGTTTTAAGGATAAAAGTATTTAAACTGATGTATGCTACAACAAGTCAAAACCAAAAGATATTCCTGTTTCTGATTTTTGGTTTTTGTAAAGCTTTGGTGCTCTTATCGATTGATCATTAAAATATCAGATTGTATCGTTCTAAAACATGGAATCACAAAGTACTGAAGTATCAAACATATTGTCAGCGTCAGTCCGCTGCGATTACGCCCCAAAAACCTCCTTCAGCTTTTGTGGATTCAACTGAACCAACAGACGAGACATATTTGCTTTGAAGCACTGTACTGTATTTAATAGCGCGTTCAGAAACTTTTACAAAAATGCCAAATTTGAATCTTATCTGGAGCTAACTGCGGTTCTGGCGAGCTCTTTCTCCACTCAGGCGCTGACAAACACCAGGCGGGTGGAGTAGATCAGATCCACCAGGTAGAGGATGAAGTTAAGTGCGGTGAGCACGGCCACCGTTAAGCACTTATCCCATGTGCAGACACCAATTGCGCTGCTGCAGTTGTAGGGCCTTTGTTTCGATCCGCCATTGTTGGGATCAAAATTAAAGATGGGCCAGATGATGGTTGCAGACAGATATAGGACGACCGCCAGCAGGGCGTAGGCGGACAGGAAACGAGCAAATGGGAAAGGAAGGCAGCCGGTGCATTCGCCAATGCAGAGCAGGATGATGGCCGCTGACAAGATGAAGCAGATGCAGTAGACGGACATGCAGTACTTGAGCGCATGGTGGCGGTCGTACAACACGGGGTCGCTGATGAAGACGAAGATGATGCAGGCCACGAAGGTCTCGCAGACTTTCAACAGGCCGGGGGCGGTGGCCATGTAGCCCGCCACCTCTCCTGGACGCGCCTTGCTGATGCTCACCTCGCTCATGTAGGCGATGGTGGCCAGGCAGGAGAAGACGGTCGCCACGATGCGGTAGTCGCGGATCTCGCTCTGACCTCCACTGCCTTTGAGGAAGTAGAGCGGGAAGATGATGGAGGCGGACAGGCAGAGCAAGGCGGCGTAACAGGCAAAGGTGATGGGGAAGTTCTTCCAGGAGACGGGCGCTCTGGTCTGAAGGCCAAACAGTTCCACCAGGAGGACGAGCAGAGTGCCGGCAAAGGAGAAGGCCCAGCAGAAGATGCACCAGTCACCGGTGCCGTGGAAGACACGGGCGCCGTGGACGGCCACGGAGAAGGCCACGCAGGAGAAGACCATGGCGGCCAACCGTGTCCATAGGAGGGGGCTGGATTGGACGACTATAGCCATAATGGGAGATTGAGTAGGCGATGAGAAGAATGTTCCTGTAGGGTACGAGTCACTTCTTTTTTTAGAGCGTCACTTCCTCAGACTTTCACCATCTGCTGCTCAAAGAAGGCAGAGAGAACTGTAAGGAAAAAAAAAAGAGAATTAGTAAACGTAGTTCTGATGTAATTGTTATGACCTTTAGATTGAGTACAGGATATATCCACATGAGGGCAACAGCTTGTAACTTTGCTCAAACTGTCTCCATATACTCCCACTTGAGATTTCTGGAACACACAATGTTGTTATTGTGCCGTCCATGAACAGTTGAAGCAACAAGTGAAACCTTGAAAACACAATTACGACAGGAATAAAGACTGCACTGTGGAAACACGCATCGCAGCACATTTTAGGTCTCGTCAAATCAGCTGGTGAACACTGGTGTTAGTATTTTTCTTCCTCGCATCAAACTTTAGTCTGCTTTGCCAACAGCATTCCTGTCCAGAGTGCAGACTGCTTTCACCCTCACATTCCCCCTATGGTCATGGTCGTTGTTGACGGGCATGGCGCAGCAACCTCCAGCGACCCTACAGTGTGTCTGTCATCACGCTGTAAACATGACCCTCTTCACTTGTTCCACTCCCACTCCCACAGACTTCATTTATACTGCATACTAATGTTAGCAGCGTGTAACAAGTCTCTGAATCTAGAGACCAATGTTGAACTCTAAGAAAAGAAACAGCTTCTTAAAGTCCCCTAAAGCAGTTGCAGTGAACTTTTTATTTATTCATATTTTTTGCCATTTCCAGTGGGCTTGGCTTAGCTGGAAGGGAAGGTAAAGCCACATAACTCAGTACACCTTTAAGGATAAGCTGTGTTTTTTTTAAATATTAAACTAGGTTTTAAACATTCCTAGGGAAATGTTTGCCTAACTTAAATATCGATTTGTTTCATTTATTCAGGAGTTTTTTATTGTTAAAAAGAAAAAGACACAAAGCTCTCAGAGGTTTTAAAGATAACAGAAACTTCCCTTCAAGAGGACAATAAAGCATATCGTATATAATAGGGTTGGCCGATGTCACGATATAAACAGGTCATAGCAGTCGATGTCAAATCATTATTTCGTTTAAATGTAAAGGCTGATTTTTGCTCCTCAGTGAAAGGTGAAGAAGCCAGATGGTTAATTGTGGTTTCATTATTCTTAATTGTCAGAACATGACAAAGTTTACTGGAACATGAACATTTCCCCATCTTAAACACAGAGTAGGAAAACGCTTATTATCGTTGTTGCGTTATCACCCAGGCCACAATTATGTCGCCATAATTATCGTTTTATACTCCAGTCCTATTGTATCATATCATGTAGTATAGAATCATATCGTATCGTTTTTTTTTTTTTGTTTCCTATCATACCATATCCCTTTGTTTCATTTTGTTTCATTTCTTTTGTTATGTTGCGTATCTTATCGTTTTGTTTTTTCATTTCATTTGCTTCATTTATTTGAGTGTTTCTTTGAGCTTGATTTGTTTAGTTGTTGTTTGACAAGTAACCAGGATGCAAAACCTTCTCTCTAATCTAACTTTGTGGTTGATGTGACTCAACTACTTTTCTTGGTACCCTATCAGATAACTTTAGTACGTCACATTTTCAACATGAATTATGGACATTGACTCGAGACCAGGTGGGAAATGTCTGCAAACAGCTGCAACTAATGCAAAGGAAGTGAAGGGGTTTTTCCCTGTTCTTACAAATTACTCAAACCTTAACAGGTTGTGCAACTACATTACACTGTGATCTCACTGTTAGAACAGTAAAGTATGAATTCTCCTTCTCGTTATCAATTGGTGTCTATTGAATGTTGATGCATAATGATGTATGTATGAAATTAATTTAGATTCTGAGGGGGACATCTGATGTTTTTGCTGAATGTTTTCTGATATCGGACAGCATTTCTGCACGTTTTACATCTCTCAGGGGCTCAACAGTAGAACTTTAAAGTTGCTTGTTGCTTGTTAGTTGCAGGCATCTGGGAAAAAAAGTAAGATTTGAAGTGAAAAGAGACATTTAATGAGATAAGATAGACATTTTCACAGTTCATAAACACCATGACCACACTGGCTTGCCTGCTCCTCCCACCCCTCCTGACACCCATCGCCCGCTTGGCCCCTCCAGCGCTGCGCTCTCAGTTTATATTAGGAGACAGTTGTAAACAAGGAGAAAAAGGCCTGTTTACATTAGTTCCATTAGACACCGATAAAACACGCAGGGCTGGGGAGGGGAGACGCTGAACTGGTGGTGAGGCGATGACTGGAAAGGAAAGTGCAAAAAAAAAAAGAGACAGAAATGGAAAAAGTGAACTCTGAATCCCCTGCAGGACGACTCCTTTGAGGTCATCGGGGAGTGGATGTGAGAGTAGGGGAGTGAAAAAAAAAAAAGAGGGAGGAACACGGGGGAAGCCCTGTGCTTCGGCTCCACAAGGACACAAAGTTTAAACACGGTGATGGAGTGGAATAGCAGAGAAATGAGTCACCACTGGGCCCCCTGTCTTTCACCACTCCTCCTTTCTCTCCCCCTTCCTCTCTTAATTCTTGTAAGATTTTCCAACTTACTGATGCGTTCCAGATGTGCGGCAGTCTGGCTGCTGCCGAAACAACTGCTAACTTTGTCACATCTGCCAAGTTCTTTCCTTTCCTTTTTTCCTTTTCCTTTCCTTCCCTCCTTATAGTCTCATTTGGTGGTTACTCCCTCTCTTTTCCATCAGTTGTTCCTCTTTCTCCCTCCCTCCCTTCTTCTCCTAGCTCAATGCTCCCACTCCAGCTTTAAAGTCAGGGTACCAATTATGCCTCATGTAAACCACTCAAAATAAACGTATACCGAGGGTCGTAATGGAAAAATCAATCGCGCCACTTCGGCTGCATTTACTTTTTTGTTGATTATGGAATCGAGTCAGGAAAGAAATTTGAGAGGAAAATGACAGAAGAATAGAGAAGGAAACAGGAGTACAGTTTGGAAAATGTGTCCTTTTTTTTTTTTGCAGGTCAGCATGGAAATCAGGGCAGGATCATACAAAGAGGGGAAGAAGTGCTGAAAATAGGGTTCACACCTCATGATGGCAGCGGGACAGCAAACAGGATGTGACGATATCATGCTTCTATGCACGTTCACTTGTTCATGCAACAGGAGGTTGTCCTGCACGTACACACAAACACACACTTCAACTGAGACACACACACACACAAATCTAACTATGCAAATGTTTCTCTCAGGCACTGACTGGGGTCATACGCGCTGCTTGTTTGGTTGTCATGACAGAACATCCCTAACTTGATTTTACCTATAATCCACTTACAGGGGATCGTTGGGTCGAAGCACAGGAGGAGCTCTGTTATCGAACCGTCTCAGTGTGTGTGTGTGTGTGTGTGTGTGTGTGTGTGTGTGTGTGTGTGTGTGTGTGAGAGATTTATGTTGGTATATTACCTGCCATTGTGTGATTTTTAAAAATGCTAAATGTTCACATTTGAACTATTAAAAAACATAAAAAGTTCCCAACAATATTCACCAGACTACCTTTTTTTTACCACACTGGTAAACAATCTGAAGACCTTTAAAAGATACCCAATGCCTAAAGAAACACTTAACACCTTTTTTCTTTTTCTTTTTTACCTGACTTGCCAAACCTACTTAATTAAGAGGCTGTTTTTTTTTTTATCAGACTCTGACTAAATTCTTTCGACACAACTTAGGCTTGTTTACAAAACTTCCAAAAACCTTGAAAGAGACAGTAAAAGTCCCCTCAAGCCAACTTGTGACACTGTGACAGCGGTTTGTTCAGGCTGCCTCTGTGGTTCATTCATTGACAGTGAAGGTGGGTGTGCCTGCCGCACCCAGCTCACACCACATACACTACACCACGCTGCAACTGACACAAACTGATGCAAAACACAGAAAAACTATTGAGGAAAGTTCCATTTTACTCATTTTAGGAGTGGACAAATGCTTAGCTGTAAAATTTAAAAACAATAAAATGTTTTTTTTGTTGTTTTTTTTTTTTTTACTGTGAAAACGTCCTCTAACATGCAAAATTCTGGGCTGCTCAGTATATTATTACATTCTTCCCATGAAGCATGCAGGTAAGCAAGATACAACAAGTTGTTCTCGGCAAAAGTTCACATTATCAATCTTTAAAAATCTGTTTCCTTATTCTGCACAATCATCATAGCTAGTGTTACATTGTTGCTTACCTTCCTGTTTCTTGGCTGCAGATAGTCTCTGTGCTCCAGGACGACCAGTGGTGGATTGTAAGTCCTCAGCTCGATGCCCAGCAGCTCAGAGTAGAGAGCTCCCCGCCCAGAAAACCAAATAAGGAATCAAATGTCTGCACCGTTATTCACATCTGCCTGACTCTCCTCCTCCTTCTTGCTCCTCCAGCCTGCTGGACACACCCAGTGAAGTGCAGCTGAAGTTCACATCCTCTCAACGTTACTGCCTTGATTTGTGTTTTACATTTTCATAGCCTGCAGTTTCAGCATGGACAGAATTAAAATAGGCTAAAAATGTATTTTTTATAAGTAACCAATGTCGTTGTGTTAGAAGATTAGCCTGCACGTGGGTCCTATGTGTCAACAAAACAAAACAAAAAAACAGTTTTTTTTTTTTTTTTAAACGCCATTCATTACGACACATAATGACGACTGGATAGGCTACAGCTTAAAAACTGTGTTGAAAAAATGTATTAAAAAATAAAATAAAATAAAATAAAAAGTAATCTTATTTGTAACCTAACAAGAACATACCCTAAAGCAAAGAAGTAATCGAAATGTTGCTGATTAAGTCATGGAAACCCCCCCTCCGTTAAATGTGACTAACAACAATGTCGTCATCTGTATTTCAAGCCTCTCCTCTGGGGTTACCATCGACACGGACCGTGATAAAGTTAAATATTTGTCAGCGCTCTTGTCTGAATCATCGCGCCTTCAAACTATTTGTGTGCGTTACCAAGCAACTGCTACGCGGTTACCATGACAGTTTTGTATTTACTCTTCTCAGAAATCGACGCGTTTCCTGAATCTAGGAAAAAAAGAAAAAAAGTAATCAAGCAAGTAATGGTCCTATGTTCATTTGTTTAAATGTTTTCACATTTCATCCCTGCTTTATATTATGTTCTACACATCCTTCTGTTCTAAGGTAGCCTAACTTTTATTGATATAGTAAATTGTTACAGAAGCTCAATAATAGGCTAAATAAAGGGTACAAATTTAACAATACAGGATGCAGAAAAAGAGTGATGAGAGGTAAATAGGGTGAGAGTGGAAAAATAATTATAGTAATAAAGACTACTCACTATATTCACCAATAAATTGTTTTTAAGAGTTATTGCACAGCAGGGTTGCACTCATTATTTCACAGCAATGATCCAAAAATGTTGTATAAATAACAGACATAAAAATCAATCCTGAGAAGAAGAGATGTAAAGTTTCCCTAAAGTAAATTCTGAGTGATACTATTGTAGACTATTGTTTTATTCTATTCTTGTATTCACTGAATTTGTTACAGCACAGTGGAGAAATCTCAAGTAAATGTCCTGTTTCCAAATGATACCTATAGGTGAAAGTACAAATGTATATCCTTTTTATCTCACCACTGGTATTAAAACAATAACAGGTATTTTTAAAAAACACAATACTTCATCTCACTACTCTCGGTTAGGGAATGCTCCAGCTTTGTCACTTTCAAGGGTCATCTGATCCTGTGGCTCAGAACAAACTAGATCTGTGACCATGTCTAAAAATATATTTTTATGTATGTGTGCATGCATACATCTATGTATTTATCCCCAGTGCAATACTTCGTACAGAGACACAGTATGCAAACTCTGTGCCAATGTGCACACACAGCAGCACTTTAAAGTTACAGGCAAATGTGCAATTTACATCAGTATCTCATAATTATGTTCAATACTCCAGCACTTTTGCACTTTATGCCCCACAGCAAGCACTTTATGCACTCCAGCTCTGAATGTCAGTTTATCCTGGTTTGTTTCAAACTATCGCAGAGCCACTTTTACTGCTTGTATGTGTCTCTTACTAATGTACAATATACGTTGTTTTCTGGTCATTACCTGTTGTTTGGGTTTTGCCTGTCATTGTGGTTTTATGTAAATTTGTATTTGTGTGTACCACCAACCTGCCAAGGGAATACAGATGGAAATTATCACATGGCTACAATCTAGCATATTAACATATTTATGTTCATTAATGTGCACTGTCCCTTTAAAATACATAAAGATTTGACTTTTTAATTAACCCATCTGTCACATTTTTGTATTACATGTTTACTTCACTGCACTATTATCTTATTTAGTCTTGTACATATTAGTCTTTGCTTATTTTGTGTTGAGCCTATTTTGTGTTTATTGTGATATTTAAAGTTATACCTTTGTAGAGAGCACAGTTCACCGAAGTTAGATTCATTGTTTGTGTAAGCATACCTGGCAAATAAAGCTGATTCTGATTTAAATTTTCTGTTTTCTTTCTGGTTTTATTTTCATTTGTATTTATATATTATTATTTATATATTATTATTTATATAATAATAATAATAATAATAATTTATATAATAATAATGATGATAATAATAATAATAATAATAATAATAATAATAATAATAATAATTATAATTATAATTATAATAAAATTATAATTTATACAATAATTATTATTTTTGTTTATTTATATATTATTATTTATATTTTATTTTTATCTAGTTTTACTTTTTCTGGTTTCATTTTTATTTTCTACCACCAGATGTCGCCAGATCTCAAAACAACACCGTTGTTATGACGTAATTGTTTGTGCGACATTATTAAAAACCACGAAACGTCAGTTTACGGGGACTACAGTATTCGGTGCTCGGAGAGGGTAACATCATGGCGTCGGGAGCAGGAGACCAGTCCACCGGACACGATGCAGAACTGGACGAGTTATTGGACAGTAAGGAATGACAGCACGTGTTCAAAGCGGTTCTCCTTGTACGGGTTGTCCTGGTGTTTAAAACGATGCAGGGAGCTCGTGTGTGTGTCGGGACATCCTGTCCGGGTCACAAGAAGCTCCAAGTGACGGCCTGTCAGATCAGTGTGTGTGTGTGTGTGTGTGTGTGTGTGTGTGTGTGTGTGTGTGTGTGTGTGTGTGTGTGTGTGTGTGTGTGTGTGTGTGTGTGTGTGTGTGTGTGTGTGTGTGTGTGTGTGTGTGTGTGTGTGTGTGTGTGTGTGTGTGTGTGTGTGTGTGTGTGTGTGTGTGTGACATTACTGCATGGTTGTTATGCTGTGAGATTGAATGAAAACCTGATAATTGAACGTGGCGGCTGAGCTGTCAATGAAAGTATTGTTGCAGCAGGAAGTCTTTGTTTTCTTACCTTTGTGCTTTTCTGTTTGGTTCAGTTTGTATTTTGAATCGTACATTATACCCCCCGTGGTGTCTCAAGAGGTCAATCAACCAAATCTGCATTTGTGTAGCTCCAATTTATAACACCTTTTTTTTGTTTTATCTCAAGACACTTTACAAAAAGCAGGTAAAAGATCTCACTCTTTGTTGTGTCCTCTTAAAAGACCCAACATGAATCCATCATGAATGCTAAGCAACATTCAGCAAAACCAAGAGGCAGAACCAGACTCATGTTGCAGAAACTGTGTTTGGTCTGGGATAGATGGAGGTGCAGGAAGAAGGATAGGGACGAACAACAACTCGGTTCAGTTTTGGATGCATGCATGTGTGGATTTTAAATGGCATTAGAGTATGAACCCCATTTAGTGACTTAAAGTTTGAACTAACAGCACAGTTACAGTTTCCGTTACGTTTGTAAACATCAGTGATGAACGTTGTGTTTTTGATGCTGTAGAAAAGCTTCAGATTGCTGCGACACGACACGATAAACTTTAAAGTCCCCTTTTATGAAATTTGTCTTGGTGTCAGAGTGCTGCCAAACATTCAGCTGCTTCCACCCGAATCAGGAAATAAAAACAATAGAAAAACAGAAAGGCACAAACCAATGCAAAACAACACAACATATATTGCACGTTACCCATAGACAGGAACATGATGCAGTATTATCAGAGAGGAAGACTCGATGCGAATGGGATTACCCTGATGAGCTGAATCATTTGGAATGAGGTTGTCAAATTGTCGATGCTCTGATCCTTTTTGTTTTTAATAAAATACAATCTCTGATCATTTTTAAAAAAATTGATTGTAGAAAAGTCTAAACTATAAATAAACCCCAAAAACTTCAGATCCTCGGTCATATTTTAACCAATAGTTGTGAGTGAAATGTTGACATTTCTGAAGTCTTTTTGGCGTCGCACAGAGATACAGAAGTTATGCTGATGTCTCTTACAAACGCACAGAGAGCCGAGGAGGTGACGCCATCTAAATTCTAAAAAAAACATTGCCAACGTTTCAGTTAAGAGCTGCACCAATGTGCAGTTTAGACATTGTGCAGGAGTTTGCCTGCAAGTTTTGGTCATTAAAAAAAAACAAGAAATAAGCCGATATTGAATGCCTAGGAATTCTATTTTTGTTACTATTATATCAAGCAGGTATTGATTACTAGAATCACATCAAAGCTTAAAATTAATTTGTGCCACCGTTAACTGTTCTGCAGCTTCAGCCTAATTTTGAGTTTGAATATTGAATGCGACATCTTCAGAGAGTCAGTGTTCTCATGTGGTCCCCCGTGTCACAGGTGCCTTGGATGACTTTGACAAGACATCGGCCCCTCCAGCCCCAGAACCTGCAGCTGCTTCCTCCTCAGCCAGCAGTGGTGCAGAAAAGGTGTGTGTAGGTGTTTGTGTAGTGCTGTTCCAGTATCCACGTCGTGCTGAGACTACAAAGTGACAGCCTCAAATTCTGTTAGAACTACAGGGTGTGAAAACTAAACCCAAAGATCCAAAATTGGAAAAAGAATTGTCTTGCTAATTGTGTTTATTGAATCAAACAATCTTCAAGTTGCATTTGATAGCTCACTTTATCTCCCAGTCTTTATAAAATATGTGATAAGAAGGTGCTTTTACCTGTGTGTGTGTTTTTTCCTCTCTATGTAGCCACCCTTGCTTGAAGATTGCAAACTCTTCGAGACTCTCTTCGAGGGTGACATGGCCACACAAGCCAAGGAGGAGTGGGAGAAGGCCATGACTGAGCTGGCTCACGAGGAGCCAGAACTGCTGCAGCACTTTCATAAACTGTCCGAGGCTGCAGGGAAAGTCGGTAAGGCTCGCTGCTTGCGTTATTTGTGATTTTGAAAACAGGAAAGGTGGAGTCAGCAGGAATGTTTGTTGCAGCTTGTAAACGCAATATTCAAATTGAGCTCGTCCCCACTAGAAGCTAACGCCCGCTTGCAGGACTTAGCGTGCATGTTTTCCTGCCGGTACCTACACTGCAAGCTATACCAGAGAATATCACATTTGTTGTAATGGAAAAGCCGATGATTTAGCGAGCTAGCACACGCTAACCAGCGGTGTTTGTCTAACGGAAAGCAAGCTAACTCTGTGTCCACGGGTGAATGCCAAACCAAGGTTCACTCTCCATTTAGAGAAAGCCTTTTACGAGTGGTGAGTCACCTGACAGAGCGCAGAGCTGCAGAAACTCACCTGTGCTCTGTCATTGGTTGGAGGAAATACTCCCGGTCCCCACCCCGAAACAACCTGAGTCAACCAAAACATGAAACTCCAGCAGTCACCGTCACACGTGTATGCAGCATTACGTTTTTCTAAATCTTTCATCGGAAAAAGCTACTGACTCTATCTTTACACGTACCTTGCCTGTAGCCTGAGTGCTGTGTGTTTTGTACAGGCACTGACACCGCCTCCCAACAAGAATTCACCTCTTGTCTTAAAGACACCCTGCGTGGTTTGGCCAAAAATGCAGACAACCTGCAGGTGGGTAAAGTCTCGACTCGAGCAGATGTTCTGAAATTGTTCACAGTGACTGAAACGGTTCACTGACTGTGTTGTTCTTCGCGCAGTCATCAGGACTGGCCGGAGACGACCTCGTCAAAGCCCTCGAAGGCCTGGGATTGGATGAGGGTGGTGAAAGAGGCGGTGACGACGGAAACATCCTGCCCATCATGCAGTCCATCATGCAGAATCTCCTCTCTAAGGAAGTGCTTTATCCGTCTCTCAAAGAGATCACTGCCAAGGTTTGTGTTTTTTAACTCGGCCTCACTGTGCTCTCCAGTTTCACTACATCGCGCCACTCATAAATCTCCCTCCCCGCTTTTATAGTACCCAGAGTGGTTGGACGCCAATAAACCGAGCCTCAGCCCAGAGGACTACCAGCGCTATGAGAAGCAGGCCAAAATCATGGGAGAGATCTGTAAGCTCTTTGAGAAGGAGGAGGAGACGGCGGAGGATAAAGAGAGCACGTTCGAGAACATCATGGACCTGATGCAAAAGGTCGACGCGCTCTGCATTTCACTCTCATAAATCAAAGTCACTGTGATGAAGAAAAATCAATCAATACAGCTAAAGATTCAATCTTACATTATGCAGATATAACACACTAAAAAGACAGTTCAGCGCACGCAGATGTTCCGTTTACTCTCTGGTGAATGTTAAGAATGAAACTCTCCACTGATTTAAAAAAAAAATCATTTTACTTACAGCTGCAAGACCTGGGCCAACCACCCAAGGAGCTGGCAGGTGACGCGGTGAGTTTTTCCACGTCCATCAAGTCGAGTTTTTTTTAATTTTTTTTTATAGAGCACTTTTCAAGGCAATTCAACATCAAAAGACATCAAAAGCATGAATATGAAGGGAAAGTCTTGAGAAATCAGACAATTAAATCAGTGTTCGTATAGAGGATAGTACATGGACGGTGTTCTGCTGTCGCAAGTTTTTATGACGTTATGAATGTTGCAGGAATAAAGCCAGCTCGGTTCCTAAAGTGAATTGTTGCAAAAATGTAATAACAGAACATCTATAACACTTTCTGTCTAGAAGGGATGTTTGCATGTTTGCCCACTAGTTATGGAAACCATTCCATATTAGACGTGCTTAGTATCACTGTGGCCCTTTTCCATGCATGCTCTGCACTCCTGATAAGTCATGAAATGTCCCCGTTGGCTGCATGTGTGAATGCAAATGAACACATTTTTCACCCAGACATTATCTTCCCCCCCTTTCCTGCCAATTACCTAGTAAAATATCTGCATGAATTCAAGGTGAGCCAACGTGTGAATGCAGCCGGTAATATTCAGGAACATTTTCAGTGAGTGAGCGAGCGAGCAGGCAGGCGTGATGCCATTTATGTCATGCAACGGATGCAAAAACCGATGGAATCTTAGTGTGTGTAGTGAGGCTTTTCATACTCTTTTTGCTCGCCTGTTCTTTCCCCACGCTTTCATGATAGTGTGTCTTCGTCCAGTAAAACATCCAATAACTCCCCATCATCTAAATTATCTGCAGTGCATTTGTGATGGGCCCATAGACATATCACACAGTTGACTTACATTACAAGAGATTTATTTTGATTCCACCGCTCAGCTCCACATGTGCATTGTTCCACCAAAACAAGTTGTCTCCTGACGCTTTCTAACAAGGGCAACGTTCCAAAAATGCTGTGTTTACAAAGCCCTGGATCACGATGGCTTCATCCAAACCTTTCTCTATTGCTGGCAAAGCACTTCGATAATGTAGAGAATAAAAAGGTCTGACTGTAGCTTTTTCCACTCGTGCACTTCTGAAAATGACTAGAAACTTTGAGGACAGCCTTCCCCTGAAATTTCCCAAAGTTGTTATTCACACGTCCCTCACAGCGGGACATTTTGAATGAATGTTTTTATTTTGGTCATTCATTAAAGAATAACAAGAGTCAAAAATATTTGTGCAAATAGTCCACTTACAGAAATAGAAACAAAATCACTTTACATTTTTATTTGTCCATTTCACACACTGTTTGTAATTCTTTTACTTTATAAGCGGTAATGAAAAATCTCTTGGCTGTTAACAAATGTGCATTCTCTTGGTACACACTTCCATTTGTCCCTACCCTTACTTAATAATCCACACCCTCCTTCCTTCCTCTTCCCCACCAGCCTCCAGGCCTTAACTTCGACATGGAGTCCCTCAACCTCCCAGGAGGCCCTGGGGCGGGGGCGGCAGATCAGTGCTCCGTCATGTGAAGGAGGTACTGGTGCAGTCCATCATAAGCGCTGGAGCCAGAGGGTCACTCTGTGTGGGCGTCAGCGACAGTCGGGCAGCAAAGAAAGGAGAGAGAAGCAAATATCAGACAGGTGTGACCAGACCGTCGACACTGTTCTCCCTCAAGCAGAATGTGTGTGTGTGTTGTGAGTGTGTGAGTGCAGTAACAACAGGAGGAGACAGGAAAACAAAAAACAAAAAAAAAACAACAAGAAACCACACATGCAAACACAAACTCTTCTGTCCAAAATCACTGACCTCACAACTGTAAAGATTTGAACATCTCTGCGTTAGTTTGTCAGCGGTTTGTTTAGCGCTTTAACTTGATAATTTTAAGCATCATTCCTTTTCCTGAAACGCAGCAGAAGCGCTGTGTTGTCTCAACTGTTTAGCCTCATGGTAAAAAGATCTATCACACCACTTCACGGGTATAAACAGTGCCTTGGCAAACTTTGAAGCTCTTATTTTAGTTTCTCACTACAGGGCGAGATTTAAGATCATAGATTTGAAACCAAATTTGCAATATTATCCCAGATTAATGTGACCTTAGTGACAATTTCTTTGGTTCTTCATTCATTAATTGCACTCCTCTGTTTGTGTACAGACTGTATAGGAGTTGAATTAAGAGTTAATCACTTATTAACATGTAAGGAAACAGGAAGTAACCGAGTGTACGTGTGTTAATTATTTAAATAATTGAAAAAGGCTAAAGAGGATTGAACGCCTCTTAAAACGTTCTCTACTGTAATCCAGCCAACTAATGTGGCAAAAAAACAAAACAAGATCCATTCCCCCTATTTAGCCTCCCCCCCCCAGGTATAGATTTAACGTGATTGCAATGATGATATCCGGATGCCTTTGCTGTGGTGACAGTGATCATTATAGTGTAGAGTTACTGTGCAAAGTGCTTCCCTTGTGATTCCCTGTGTTTTTTAAAATGTGCAGAGTGATTGTTTTCTTTGGTACGGGGGGGGGGGGGTCCCAGCTAGGAAAGAAAAACACTTCAGAGGTATTCACGAGCTGTTTACCTTCTGATAACAGGGAACGTGAATCCTGTCCCCCTTCATTGAGAGAAAAAAAAAGTACATCATGTTCTTTCCAGAAAAAGGTGGGGTGAGATCAGTCTGATGTTAGCACATTTTCGCCTGTGGTTTGTTTACTCCAGCGTCCACGTTTCACCAGCTGCTAACGCCAGTGGACAGTTTTTTTTCACTGCGGAGACCATAGACAGAGAGGTCTCTCGAATTCACACGGCCATCAGCGCATCAATAACTGTACGATAAAGGGTTACTGTGAAAGGATTCAGTCAGCTGTGCACTGAAATTTAGATTTACATGAAACACACGCTGCTGCTGTGGAGGTCCATAAAGGCCTGTGGTCGTCACTGATGGAAGGGGGGGGGGGTGCAATCTGTTCAACACTCAGGGCTGATGTAAACATGCCCAGAGCACCGTCAAAGAAATGCAGCCTGATATTTGACACTATTTTGTTTTGTAAATATATGAAATGAAATAAAGATATGATGCAATTTATGTTTGTTTTGTCGTGGATTGTAAGAAGAATGATGGAGTTCCTGCACTGACATTTTAAAATGCTTGATGCTCAACTTGTTTTATTGCAGATTTACTTTTAACATTCAGAAACCATGATCAGCTTGATGTTAAAAGGTTTCAGGCTTTAGGGTGTATTTAAATAAAATAAATATTAACACAGAGAGAGTTTAAATGCTGGTCTTTACTTACAGAGTATATTTTAATTGATGGAATATATAAACTCTGTATTAGAAAATCTTAAATCCACATCCACTGAACTTGCTATTCAGGAATTTTCAGTTGCGTTTCCCCTGTTATTGGTAAGTTTTTGTCCAGTTTGTTTACTTATTGACTATCATCACTGATGAAAACACAGTAAATAGAAAGAAGACCTTTTTTTTGTTTTTAAATCTCAACATTATAAAGACTTTTTATTCCACCACCGGCATTGACAGTAAAAAGTACAGCTAAGATAATTTGTCTCTTTTGCCCACTGAAACAACACTTGGAGAAGTCTCCTTGAAAGGTCAAATTAGTAGCTGTTAATCATACGTAGTATAGTACAAATATCCATTAGGGAACCACCACGCCTCCTTCATGCCATCTACAGGTCTATCCCAATACGAAATGACATGATAATGTAACGTATCATAGACTTTAATATGAATATATAACATCCAGTGTATGAATCTACACATTATGGGGCAGCAGTAGATCAGTCTGTAGGGACTTGGGTTGGGAACTGGAGGGTTGCCGGTTCAAGTCCCGGTGCAGACCAAAAATGGAAGTTGGTCTGGTAGCTGGAGAGGTGCCTGAGCACTGCTGAGGTGCCCTTGAGCAAGAAACCAGACCCCCTCCCCAACATCAGCTCAGGAGCGCCTGCTGTGGGCAGCTCCGTCACTCTGACATCTCTCCATTAGTGCATGTCCATAAGATCCTGTTTCTGCATGTGTGTGTATTTCAGTCTATGTGTGTGTTGCATGACTTACAGAGTGTAAAAACAAAACAGAATTTCCCCTTGCAGGATCAATAAAAGTAAATCTTAATCTTAATGTGGGCCTGACAAGTACGTCTATTTAACAAGACCTCATACAAATAGAATATTTAGATCAATTGCAATAATAATCAAGTGTAAAAATCAAATACTGTAGGTAAAAATCCAATTAATATCTGGTGGAAAAAACGATGTAAAACACCCCCAAAACAAATAAATTCAGCATGTACTGTTGGCGGTTTTGGAGTAGTACTTCTCTCACAGTTTGATATTTGGTGCATGAATATTACTATAAATTTCTTTTTTTTTGTGTTAATGTATTTATTTTTTAATTACAAGGACCAACAAATTAACACAATACACAACAAACCACAATAACAACATACAGACACAAACAAAACAGAACAAAGATTAACAGCAGTTTTCACAATCAGTAGAGCTAAATAAAATCATTCAATTGTATTTGATGTTCCTATACACATTATCCTGAACCATTCCTCTTTTAGAAATATCTATCACTTTCTATTATTATTGTATTCTGCGTTATAATGTGCTTTATATTTTCACATTAATGCCAAATAGCTCTGTCTGAAAAGAAATGGAGTATGTAGATCAGTTAACATTATAAAGTAAGTAGCGCCTACAATATGACTCACGACAGTCCAGCTCTATGTGTTGTATTTCTATCCGCCGCCGCCGTGGAGCTTTCCGCGTCACATTTCTCACAAGCAAAACTTTATTGTTCCAAACCGGAAGACAAAACGGGGCTACGTGTCAGGAAAAAAAGGAAGAATCAGCTAACAGAGCGAAGGCGATCTAGCCGCCTGAGCTCACCTGTTTGGAGTATTCTGAAGTGTTTTAACTGCTCTGTTCTGGAGTTATCATCAACATTACGACTTGGTATCTCATCAGGCGACGATGTTAACAAAATTTGAGACAAAGTCGGCCCGTGTGAAAGGTAAGAGTTATCCCACTGCTGCTAGCATGTAGGCTAGCGTTAGCACCCTGGCGTTGACAGTGTTAGTTATTCATCCTGACGTGTGTTTGTGTGTTCATCTCGTATTATGAGATATTTGATTATATAATGTTGTATTTCAGGCCTGAGTTTCCACCCCAAGAGGCCATGGGTTCTTGCCAGTTTGCACAACGGGGTCATCCAGCTGTGGGATTACCGGATGTGCACACTGATTGATAAGTTTGATGAGCATGATGGTGAGACAGCAGCGTGTCTGATGTGTGAATGTTAATGTCTGTGCTCCTGGTGGATGTGTGATTATTATGCTGGTGTGTCTTTGCCCACAGGCCCCGTCAGAGGAATTGATTTCCACAAACAGCAGCCTCTGTTTGTGTCTGGAGGAGATGACTACAAGATCAAGGTGAGGCTCCTCTTCACACCTCATCAGATCTGTTTCTATCAACCTGACTTTACTGTACTTCTTTAATGATAACATGTCTGCAAAGGATGGACTTAAGTGTCCTTTATGTGTGAATAAGTTATAAGAGATGTGTTATTAGAATAGAATAGATGTTTATTGCCATTTGCACAGGTGCAGGACAGGTACATGGGAATTCTTGTGTTTCTCCCTGAGTCAGCTTCTACAAAAAAAGTAAACAGTTATATATAAAATAGAATAGCATTATAAAGAACAAAAGTTAAAATTATATATATAAGAAAAAGAGAGTAAAAAAAAAAGTAAAAATAAATAAGTTGTAGTAACAGGTAAGTGATTTAAAATAAACTGTACAGAAGTTATACTCTGTATTAAAGCAAAGATATAATACCAAAAACATAACAAGGGGAACACTGTACAATGAAATGAAAATATAAATAAGTTTTCTTTTTGCACTTATTGCCCCTGAGGTTACTGCACACATATTTCTCACATTATATAATTAGTTTTTTGTTTATTGCACACTTGTATTGCACTGTGAGGTGTTCAGCTGTCCATTTAGTCTGTGAGGTGTGGGGGGGTGATCTTAATGTCCTGTGCTACAAGTCTCACAGCAGCAGGGAAAAAGCTGTTGTGGTAGCGGGAGATGCTCTCTGGCCTGTGATGTCGTAGGTTATACAATGTTACAATTCACTTAGCGGACGCTTTTATCCAAAGCGATGTACATCAGAGAGTACTAATCCATTCATACACCACCGAAGCAGAGGGAGCAACTCCGGGTTAAGTGTCTTGCCCAAGGACACATCGGACATGTTGCTCGGCTGGGGATCGAACTCTCGACCTTCCGGTTGAGAGGCGACGACTCTACCCACTGAGCCACATACCTTATATATGTTCTAGCCCGAGTTCTTCCACCTGAACAGAGCATGAGCTGGGTGCTGTTTGTCCTTGAGGATGCTCTGTGCTTTAACAATGTTCTGTTCATTACACAGTTTGTTCTTGCCGTGTTATTGCATTGTTGTTTTCTATAATTGTGGAGTTATATCAGTAAACTATATGCTAAAGCATCATTCCCTTTTTGAACAGGTATGGAACTACAAGCTGAGACGCTGCCTCTTCACTCTCCTCGGACACCTTGACTACATCAGAACAACCTTCTTCCACCATGTGAGTTGTCCTGAAACTCCATCTGTCTCATCTCACACCCTGCATCCTGTTTATACCAGAAAACAAACACTTAATGCAACCTTTCCCCTTTTCTGTAGGAGTACCCCTGGATCCTGAGTGCCTCAGACGACCAGACCATTCGCATCTGGAACTGGCAGTCCAGGACCTGCGTCTGGTAAGACACACTGAGAAACACATTTTAAACAGCTACCAAATAGATTCAAAAGGAATTAAAATGAAGCTCTGTAATCTAATTTGATTTCATATCTTGTCTTAATCAAGCAACACTTTAATTACTGCTCAAACTTTCAGAACATCAATCATTTTAATGGTCATTGCCAAGGTGAAAAACAGATGTGCTCTAAAAATCTTTGGCTCCCTGTCCACAGTGTGCTGACTGGCCATAACCACTACGTGATGTGCGCCCAGTTCCACCCATCGGAGGACCTGGTGGTGTCAGCCAGTCTGGATCAGACCGTGCGAGTGTGGGATATTTCTGGTGAGAGCCCCGGGCAACGGTGGACCAGAGGACAGTGGTTCTGGGTTGAGGAAGGGGTTGTTGGGAGGGCAGAGTGGTATGAAGGAAGAGGAAGAAGCGGGATGATGAACGTCAAGTCAAGCATCGCCTCTTCTTCCTCTCCTACTTGTAGAGGACAAAACTCTGTGGGCCGTTTACAGAAACACCTCTCGTTTAGGAAAGGCAGAAAGAGGAATAGATATGTCAGAACAAATTCACAGTATGGCATTCATTAATGACATACTGTACAGGTAAGTGTTCTGAATGAAGGAATAGATAACATATTGATAGTGATAGGATGCAGTTAAAAGCACAAGAATAGGAAGTAGGAGAGGTGTTTCTGTTGCCTTTGCATGCTCTTGGAATCTGTGTTTGTTGATTTTGTTTCTTGCTTCTTGTTATCTTCTTACTAACTGTTAATTTGCTCACTTGTACTAACACTTTCTTACATGTGAACGTGCATAACGTACAGATCTATAACTCTCTCCTCTGTCCCTGTGCATTCATGTGCTTTCATATTTTATGGCATTAAGCATGATATCAGACGTTCATACAGTTTTTATTGAGCTTCTAGTTTGTAAAACATCGTAACAAGACATACTTGACTCACTCTGTTACTTGCACGGCACCAGTATAACACAGAAAAGTTCCTTTGCACTCTTCATTTTATTACAGGAAGTCCATACTGCATCCCATATTGCTATTAACTTGCATCAAGGAAAAACTGTCATTACTAACTGGTTTTAAACTGTACCTCATACTTAGTTAACCTTGTTGATACTGAAATATTTGTACCCCCCCTTCCCTCCTCACATGGCATGAAAGATGCACAGCTGGCTCTACTACTTGAAATATACAAACGTGTTTATATTTCTCTTAGCTTCAAGTCACCGACTTATTCCCTAACCTTAAACGATGTCAGGTTCTTTTT